TGAGATTTGAGACAGGCAGCACAGCTTCACCAAGGGCAAGTCCTGCCTGACCAACCTAGTGACCTTCTATGATGGAGTGACTACAATAGTGGACAAGGGAAGGGCTACAGATGTCATTTATCTGAATTTCTGTAAAGCCTTTGACATACTCCCCTCCAACATCCTTCTTTCTAAATTGGAGAGAGGTGGATTTGATGAATAGAGTATTAGATGGATAAGAAATTGGATGGACCGTCACATAGAGAGGGTAGTGATCAATGGCTCAGAGTCCTGATGGACATTAATGACAAGTGGTGTCTCTCGGGGATCCATACTGGGATCAGTGTTATTTAATATCTTCTTTAATGACGTAGACCAAGGGATTGAGTGCACCCACAGTAAATTTGCAGATGACACCAAGCTGAGTGGTGTGGTTGACACACCTGAAGGATGGGATGCCATCCAGAGGGCCCTGGACGAGCTCGAGAAGTAGGCCCATGGGAGTCTCATGAAGTTTCACAAGTGACAGGTGCTGCACCTGGGTCGGGGCAATCCCCAGTATCAGTCCAGGCTGGGGGGATGAACAGATGGAGATCAGCCCTGCTGAGAAGGACTTGGGGATGCTGGAGGATGAGAGGCTGGACATGACCTGGCAATGTGTGCTTACAGCTCAGAAAGCCAATTGTATCCTGGGCTGCATCAAGAGCAGCGTGGCCAGAAGGGTGAGGGAGGGGATTCTGCCCCTCTACTCTGTTCTTGTGTGACCCCACCTGTAGAACTGCATCCAGCTCTGGGGTCCCCAGCACAGAGGGGACATCGACCTGTTGGAGTGAGTGCAGAGGAGGGCCACCAAGACAATTAGAGGGATGGAGCACCTTTCCTATGAGGAAAGGCTGAGAGAATTGGGTTTGTTCAGCCTGGAAGAGATAGCTTAGGGGTGACCTAATTACAGCCTTCCAGTACCTAAAGGGATCCTACAAGAAAAATGGAGAGGGACTTTTTACAAAAGCACGTAGTGACAGGACAAGGGGGAATGACTTTAAACTAAAAAGAATAGGTTTAGATTAGATATTAGAAGAAATCCTTTACTGTGAGGGTCATGAGGCACTGGAATAGGTTGCCCAGAGAAGTTGTGGATGCTCCATCCCTGAAAGTGTTAAAGATCAGACTGGAGGGGGCTTTGAGCAACCTGGTTTAGTGGAAGGTGTTCCTGCCTGTGAACTAGATGATCTTTAAGGTCCCTTCCAGTGCAAACCATTCTGTGATTATTAAAGATGATATTGGAGAAGAGTGTGCTAATAAAGGGATGACAGCTGCCTTATTTTTGCAAAGTATGGAAAGACTGTGTTTGAATTATAAGGGTTCCTATGAGTCATACCGAGCCTCTGAGAGGATCAGTATATTACTGTTTCCCTCCCTGTAGTAACACAGGTTAGTTTAGAATAGCAGTAATAATAAAAGTTCTGCATGCCACTTTTATCATTAGTATCGCAGTCTCATAAAAACATAAGTAAACTCATATATAACAGAAAGGCTTTACTTTCTTTGCGGCTACAGAATGGCTTAGGTGTCTATGTATGGAAAATGGAGGTGTTTTCTTATCATAGCTAGAAACTGTGCCTGTCTCTTGGGCTAAGTACTTGTTCTGGTTTTTAAGACTAAAACTGCTTCTATGTTGATGAAAAGCATGTAGCCTGAGAAAGAATCTTGAAACTTGAGGGAAAAAGGGGGAAGAAGGAAGGGGAAATACTTTCTGAATATTTGCTAAGTGCAACAATTTATCTGTGTAATGATGATTTCCTGCCTGATGGTTAGAATGTTGTGATGAAATATCTATATTATGGTAAGGGCTTTAACAAAATTAAGTTGAAAATAAATTTAATGACACTTTGAAACTGAGAGTAAATTATGAGAATTTGTGTGTTTATGCTGATGAGAGTCATTATTTTCATAGCTGGAAGGAGCATCTTGCTGTGTGAAATCTATAGAAGGAAGAGTAGAAAGGGAAGTGAAAGTTTGGAAATGTTTTGAGTATTGATAAATTTGGAAACACGTTGAGTATTGACTTCTCTAAAATCTCCCTTAGAATAGTTGTGTGCTACACAGATCATAATATTGGCTGGAAAATGTCTTCTCCGTTGCTGTCAGACTTACATAGTTAGATACAGAGCATCAGATTTTGAAAAGTCGTCCTCTTCTTGGTGCTCTCTAGGGATGCCTTTCTACCAGGTGCTCAGTGCTGCATGTTTCTCACTTGGTACAGGATTAGAGCTGTTCAGTTGCATCAGGTGTTCATAGCAGCTCTGTATTCAACAAAACCTGCTCCTCAGCTTCACATCCTGTTCTGTGTCTCTTTCTCATTATACAATAATCACTTATGTTCCAGTATTTGGTGTGCCAGCAGATGTTGGCAAAGTAGGAACCTGACAGTTTCAATGGGATTTTTACTGTATCTAGGGCAATGACTGTTCTTTGTAGTCTACTCCAAGTTCTGCTTTGGGTCTGGGGCAGTGAATATGATGCCATCTCTGATGGTTTCCCCTGTAGAGAATTCCAATTCAGTACCTTGTGATATGCATAAAATAATCTGTTACTGTTTGTGATACATTTATAATTCTCAACTCACCTTTGCCTTGCGTAGAATTGCATGCTCCTTATAGTTTGTTATTGCTTCATATGTAGCAGGGCATAAAACCAACTTCCCCAGGGCAAAGACAAGCTTTTGTCCTACCCTACTCACTCAGGTTCAGGAAAGTGCATGATCACATTGTAACTTTGTAGAAGTTTAATAATAAACTGTGGCTGGATTTAATTTATGTCCCTTGCTTTGCAATGGAAGTTAATTTCATGTAAAAATAATATTTTCATGATATATTCTGCTACTATCTTAATTTTGAGAGCTAAACTAATTGTTACAATGTGAATTTTGTTACTACCTCTTCCACAAGGTCAGCTTGCCCTTTCAGCTAGCCAGACATGTATCTAAGACTGCCTTTCTAGTTATGAGAATTAGAAATGTCAAGAGAATTTAATCCCTTATCCTAAAGCAAGATTTTCACAATTACCTCTATTAGCAAATCTGATTTAATTTGTTGTTGTTGTTCTTAGCCTTTTATTAATGGAAGCATAGGTAATGCTTCTTTACATCTGCCTTAGGAGAGACTAACAGCAGCTCTGGGAAGGGATTTACAGGGCTTAGCTATGGGAAATAGATGAGGGAAAAATTAGTATGGCATAGACTGGAGAAAAAAGTATGAAGCTAAGTAAGGCGGCAGCCAGGCTCGCGTGAGCGAATGGTATTGGTGTTGTTGGGGAGCTGTTTCCTACATTTACACTGTCTTATGTACTTTTCTTTTAATCCTTATAGAATTTGTACTGAATGGTAGTTTGTGTATCTTGAAAATTATCGATTGCATTTTGTCTTAATATGATTTTTGTATTACTTTCTTCTGTGTTGTCTTTCACCACTAAGGAAATGTCCAAATAAACACTGTGATATATAGTACACGTAGACAAGGCCTCTGAAGCAATAGATGACTGAGGCACACCTCTGGGTCAGAGTGTAATATCAGGTGTCACACTGCTTCTGCTAGGTCTTAGAATTCACAAATGTAAAGGAAAAAGGCACATTTTACCTATGTGTAAATCTAATTGTGAGTTGTTGGTGAGAGCTGGGGCAGTGGATGCAGCATTTGAAGCATTTGAGAGTTTACAGGTAGGTCTTTTTTTAGCTTATGTTATTTTTTTGGTAAGTCAAAAACTTCTGAAACTTCTGCTGACAACACCAAGAAGCCTGGAATTGGAAAAAAAACCCAAAACTGAACAAACAAATAACCAAGAAAACCTAGCTCCAAAAAAACCCCCACCTGCCTAGCCATCCCAGTGTGAATCCAGTGACATGAGTTCTCGTGTCTGTCTGAACTGATTAGAAGTCTTGGTCACCTTGGCCCTACATCTTTATGAATAGAGATTATTGTGTTGCAGCATATACTGGGCAAATTGTCTTGTTCTTAGTCAAACAAGTGAGAATCTTAACTTCATTATCAATGTTCTGTTTGTAGCAATAACTTTGCAAAAGAAGTTTGTGTTGGGTGGGCAGATGGTGTCCATGTTATATTTAGGCAGCTGTCCAGCAGAAGATTATGCTTGGGGTCTGTAAATACAGCACAGAAACTCCAAAAAACCCCCTCAAACCAATATACTACAGAATTTATGACATTTGAAGGCTTTAAAAAATAAATCTTTTTATCAGTTTTGAAGAGAGAAAAATTCTCAGTGCTCCTCCTGCACTTCTTATTCTGATCACTGAAAGAAATATGTTGGGGCTGTTGCTCTGTGAGATGCTTCTGAAGGAACTTGCTAGTGATGACAAATTAGCAGAGGACATTTTTTTCATATAGTATTTCTAGTTTTTCATGGCTGAGGGCTGTTCTGTGATTTACCTTGAATAAATAAATGAAAATAAAATATAAGTATTTGTTTGGCTTTCTGTTACTTTTTAGCTGCACTGATAGTCTGTTAATAATGTATTTTAGGTTTGTTTTAAACATTCAGAAGAGATTGGTAATCAATAGAATGTATATATGAAAATAACTGACAACTTATGAAGATACTGTGAACTTTCTGTCTAATAATTCTGGTTTTGTTTTCATACAATCAGATTTTCTTCTGGTAGTTGATAAACTGAAATAAACTCCAAGTTAAATGTGTGTCGAAGCCGCTGATTTTTTCCACTTTGTTCTATTGAAGTTTTTCTGGAGTGTGCACACAAAACAGAACAACAATTTGACTAGTATATTCCTATTTAACTAATGGAAACACTAAGTCACTAGTATGCAAAGTCAACCTACAGCTGAGTGACAGGGAAAAGAAGTCACAAGCAACACTGAGAGACCTAAATGACAATAGAATATGCATATTAATTACTTGTTCAGAAATTTTGTATGTCAAAGTGTTATGAACAGAGTTTGAATGCTTCATTTATTACAAATTTAATTTATTCCTATTTTTATCTGCTGCAGGAACTCATTATACAATGACAAATGGAGGAAATATCAACAGTTCAACACATTTACTGGATCTTCTGGATGAGCCAATTCCCGGAGTAGGAACATACGATGACTTCCATACCATTGACTGGGTTCGAGAGAAGTGCAAAGACAGAGAAAGGCATAGACGGGTACTTGACATAAATAACAGTATTTGGAAAATATTTTTTGGTTAGATATTGGAATTAAGGTCTGATCTAGCAACATATACAAATATATACATGTACTTCAAATTTGTTCATAATTATATCAGCTATAACTACTTGAATACTGTTTAAAAAGCACTGCTTCGTTGATGCCTGCAGTCTTGCAATGGTATTCTAACTTGGAAAGGAAACAGTCATTTAATAGGGTGGGAATAGGTCTCAGTCACCCAAATACCATTTTTACAGTACTGCTTTTTTTGCATACCAGTGCATTTAAGGCTATTTTCCAGTGTAAATATATTTGTAATAGTACAATAGTGCTTATGGTGGTACTTATACAGAGAAGTGAACACTGATGTATGTTGCTTTTATACTGACACAAGTGTATCTGTGCTACTGCTATGTATATATGTGTGTGTGTGTGTGTGTACATATGTGTGTGTGTGTGTATATATATATGTACTCTGCTGTGGTTGTTTGAATTATGGAAAGTGGAAATTCTTGTCTCTTAGCCACTTATATCAGCGTATATATGTTTAACAAAAAAGTAGTCTCAATATGTACGTTAACTATCTTCTCTCCTCTTTAGTGATTTCTTCAGAGGATCTTCAAAGTTCAGGCTGTTCATCTTTATCAGTGTACTCTGCAAGGAGTTCTTTCATGCAACAGACTGAAGTTGTATTAGTCAATAACATGCCAGATACTGTCATTCATGTAGTAAATTTGTTTAATAGCATTTTAAGAGGAAATACGCTATTTAGAGTCTTACCTCCAAACTTTTGGAATGCTTACTTTAATTAACCTTAAAAACAGAACAGATTTGGAAATGTGATTTCTCCTAAATATTTTTCACTGAACAAAATTAATAGTTAAAAATTAATTGTAATTTTATGGAGGGATCGGGGAGAGGTTCCTTCACATCCAAAACTATAGCATTATTCTGCACTATCTAGTGCTTTTTCAAGGAAAAGAGATCCTTGGACAATTGATCTAGGAACACATACCTTGTTTGAATGCTTTTAATGAAAAGTAAGAAGGTGTTTCCATGTAATACTTCATTTCATAATTTGATGTCTAAGCAGTGATTAACACAGTGCCATTTTAGACTGTAGATGTATAGGTTAATGTCTAGTGGATATGCCGTTGGGTAGAATGCTGGGCCTGACCAAATCCTGGCAAGTCAGACCACACCTGTGAAGAGATAATCTAGAGTGAAGTCTGACAGCCGTTACTCATTTTAATGTCCAAGACCAGAAGAGTCAGACAAGACAGTTCAGAGTTCATAGTCACAGAAATACTGGGAAATTTATAAATATACCCTGAATGACAGGAGACTGACTGGCCATGTAATCAAACATGTAAAAAGAAGGGGGTGATATTGTTTTCAAGATTTTCTTGTCTAGTATTGTGTTTTCTTGGCTTGTTTTTGGTTGGTTAGTTTGTGATGGCTTGGTTTGGTTTTTACTGTTCGCTGCACATACTTTCTTCTTTTACCAGATGAAAAACCCATAAGAATACAATGCAATTACATAATGAAGGTTCAATCATAAAACTAGTTATGCACAAATTACAGCTAAATGCATAAAGTAAATAAGGCTAAAATAAGAATAGCTATTTTTTCAGTACAATAACTTTAGGTGTCATTACTAATAATTGTCTAGAAGTATTACAGCGTAGTTATCATTATTTTGTTTCATCTTACTGTCATGTGTTTTTAGTCTAAAGATGTTTGTATTTGAAGTAGAAGTTTAGGAATTTGAATCTTATGGAATAGCTTGTTGGTAGTATGCTAATAGTTTATTTGAGGTTCAGCAAAAAATAATTTAAGATGTAGGAGAGAAATAATTTTACAAGTACATGTTCTAGATAGGTGTCATAGAAATTTTTCCCTTAATCTAATAATGCATTTCCTGGGTTTTAGTTCTTTAAATTAAGCAAATTTACTTTTCTCTGTTTGATGTCTGAATGACTAAGCTGATTTATCTATGTAAAGCACTAAATACAAGCAGAACACTTGTCGTTTAAAGAGAGGGCATATTTGCCTGCAGCCTGCATCACGCAGTTTGTATGTCATACTTAATTGTTTTCTCTTATTCATGTTAGAGAAACACATACAAGTATACATAATGATTTCTGTTTGCAGATTAACAGCAAGAAGAAAGAATCAGCATGGGAGATGACAAAAAGTTTGTACGATGCATGGTCAGGATGGCTCGTAGTCACGCTAACTGGTTTGGCATCAGGTAAATGAAAAAAGATGATTTCTTTCTTGTATTTGTCAGCAAGTATAGTTGCTGTGTTTTTCTTTTGTTGTCCACCATCCTGGCTAAGAACTTGTTCAGGCTACTACCATAATTCCGTGAAGGAAGGAAAAGGTTGACTATCTTAATTTACAGGCTTCAGTGTTTTAAGGAAAGGGTTTGTGAAAAATCACAAATTTTCTGCCCAGCTTTTCAAAAAAAATTATTTCAAACAGACATCTTACATTAAATGCTGGGAAAATTGGATTAGTTCTAGAGTTCTGTGCTTGTTAAAAAGGCATGGTAACAGTATAATTACTGCTTAGATATATACATAATCACTTTCACAAATCATATATAAATTAATACATATGCGAAGTCCGTAGCATGTTTATATACTTCTGGATGCACAAACCAGGAGTGTATAATTACTGGAAATTGCTTTTGATAATTTTGGTGGGAACATGCAGTGCTGTGTATATTAACATTGCTTTACCATGTTTCTGAGCAACAAAGCAAGCAAGTTCTGGTCTTGAACCTTACTAGGTTTTTCAGTTTCCATTGCTTTCTTTTGTATGTGTCTAGTACATATTAAATGGTGCAACCTTGAGTACAGTCATGAGGAGGTCTTATGTTTATGTATTTTAATTAATTTGGTTGAAATTTTGTTCTACTGAAATACTGCTTTTGACTTGGACTTTAGTTGACCATGGTTCTTAAGCAAAGGCTCTGTCAGGATTCGTAAATCTTAGAATTGTTAAGATTGGAAAAGACCTGCAAGATTAAGTCTAGCCTTTGACTGAACACCACCATATCAACTAAACCATAGCACTAAAGTGCCATGTCCAGTTCTTTTGTGAACACTTTCAGGCATGATGACTCTACAACTTCCCTGGATAGCCCATTCCAATGGTTGACAACCCTTTCAGTGAAGAAATCCTTCCTGATGTCCATCCTGAACCTCCCATGGCACAGTTTGAGGCCATTTCCTCTCGTCCTGCCACTGGTTGCCTGTGAGAAGAGACTGACCCCACCTTGCTATAACCTCCTTTCAAGTAGTTGTAGGGAGTGATGAGGTCCCCTCTGAGCCTCCTCTTCTCCAGGCTAAACAACCCTAGCACCCCGAGACTCTCCTCATGTGACTTATTCTCTAGACCATTCACCAACTTTGTTGCCCTTCTCTGGACTCTCTCCAGCACCTCAGCGTCTTTCCGGTAACAAGGGGCCCAAGAACTGGAAACAGTTATCAAGGTATAGCCTCACCTATGCTGAATACAGCAGGACAGTCACCTCTTTGATCCAGCTGGCCTACACAAAAGCCAGGGTGCCATTGGCCTTCTCGGCCACCTGGGCACACTGCTGACTTGTGTTCAGCGGCTGTTGACCAACACCCCCAGGTCCTTTTCTGCCAGGCAGCTCTCCAGCTGCTCTTCCACAAGCCTTTAACGCTGCAAGGGCTTGTTGTGACCCAAGAGCAGGACCCAGCACTTGGCCTTGTTGAACCTTACATAATTGGCCTCGACCCACTGATCCATCCTGTCCGTATCCCTCTGTAGAACCCTCCTACCCTCAAGTTTCTGAGGGTGCGCCCTTGTCCAGATCATCGGCAGATATTGAACAGGAACAGGACTGGCCCCAGTACTGAGCCCTGGGGAACACCCACAAATGATTGGCTGCCAAGTGGATGCAGCACCATTCACTCTGGGCCCAGCCATCCAGACAGTTTTTAACCCATCAAAGGGAGCACCTGTCCAAGCCGTGGGCTGCCAGCTTCTCTGGGCAATGCTGTGGGAGACAGTATCAAAGGTTTTACTGAACTCCAGGTAGACTACATCCACAGCCTTCCTCTCATCCACTAGGTGGGTCTCTTTGTCAAGTTGGTCAGGCAGGACCTGCATTTCCTAAATCCATGCTGGCTGGGCCTGATTCCCTGATTATCCTGACTGTGCTTTGTGATGGCACTCAAGATAATCTGTTTCATAACCTTTCCAGGCACTGAGGGCAGGCTGACAGGCCTGTAGTTCCCTGGATCCTCTTTCCAACCCTTCTTACAGATGGGCTGGGACCTCCCCAGTAAAACAGGACTTATGATGATGGAGAGTGGCTTGGTAAGCCCTTCCACCAGCTCCCTCAGTACTCTTGGGTGAGTCCTATCTGGTCCCATAGATTTGTGAGTGTCTAAGTGGCACAACAGGCAACTTCTCCTCCTGGATTGCAGGGGTTCTATTCTGCTCCCTGTCCCCATCTATCAGCTCAGGGGGCTGATTGCCCTGAGGATAACTGGTCTTTCTTTTGAAGACTGAGGCAAAGAAGGCATTAAGTACCTCAGCCCTTTCTTCATTCTTGGCGACAGTGTTTTTTCCCCCACATCCAATAAAGAATGGGAGACTTTCCTTGGTCTTCCGTTTGTTGGTAATGTCTTTATAAAAATATCTTTTATTATCTTTTACAGCAGTGGCCAGATTGAGTTCTAGTTGACCTTTCACCTTTCTAATTTTCTTTCTATGTGACCTAATGACATCTCTGTACTCTTTCTGGGTTGCCTGACCCTTCTTCTTCCAGAGGTCATAAACTCTCTATTTTCCCCTGAGTTCCAGAGAAAGGTCCCTGTTCAGGCAGGTCACTCTTCTTCCCCACTAGCTTGTCTTTTGGCACATAGGGATGGCCTGCTCCAGCGTCTTTAAGATTTCCTTCTTGAAGAATGTACAGTCTCCCTGGACCCCTTTGTTATTAAGGTCTGTTTCCCAAGGGATTCCTTCTAAGCCACCGTCTTGAACAGGCCAAAGTCCACCCTCCAGAAGTCCGAGGTTGAGGTTTTGTTGACCCCCTTCCTTACTTCACCAAGAATTGAAAACTCTGTCATTTCTTTGCCGATGTGCCCAAGTCAGCCTCTGACCACTGCTTCTCCTGCCAGCCCTTCTCTGTTTGTAAATAGCAGGTCTAGTGAGGCACAGCCTATGTTAGGCTCACTTACCAGCTATGTCAGCTAACACTCCAGGAGCCTCCTAGACTGCCTCCTCTCTGCTGTGTTGATTTTCCAGCAGACATCCAGCAAGTTAAAGTCTCCCAGGAGAACAAGGGCTAGTGATTGTGAAATCTCAGCCAGCCACTTACAGAATACTTCATCTGCCTCTTCATCCTGGCTGGGTGGTCTGTAACAGACTCCCACTGGGATGTCTGCCTTGGTTAACCTTCCCCCCCCACTTCTTACCCACAGACACTCAACCTTATCACTATCCTTGAGCTCTATACAGTTGAAGAATTCCCTAATATACAGGGCCACCCCACTGCCTCTCCTTGCTCTTCTGTCTCTTCTGAAGAGCAGGTAGCTACCCATTGCAGCACTCCAGTTATGTGAGTCATCCCACCACATTTCTTTGATGGCAACTACATCATAGCTTTCCTGCTGCACGATGGCTTCCAGCTCCTCCTGTTTGTTACCCATACTGCATACATTAGTGTACACACACTTCAGCTGGACTATCAATTTCACCCCTAACTCTGGCATGCCACCCCCAGGCTCATCTCTAATGAGCCTGGTCTTATCCCCTTCAAATCTATTTTAAAGCCCTTTCAATCAGCCCTGCCTGCCAACTCACAGGCTAGAATCCTTTTTCACCTTTTAAACAGGTGAATCCCATCTGTCTCCAGCAGGATTGGTGCCAAATAAACTACCCCATCACAGAAATGTAATAGTCCTCTTAACTCCTTTGTTTCAGTGAACAACTCCTTTGTTCCTTAGAGAACAAAGGAAAAAAAGGCAAGAAAAAAACCCACATTTAATTTGGGAAATATACAAAGAACTCGATTCTTCAGCAAATACTAATCTTACTGTATTGAGGACAGGATATATTTCTGGACATCAGTAATATATTAAATGTCTATTTAATTAGCTTTTCTGTAATCTCAATTTACATCCATTAACACCAGCACATTTCTTCATTTTAGCTTGTGTATTATTTCTATTTACCAGAACATTAATACAAAACTGCTTCTACAACAGGGGCATTGGCAGGTCTAATTGACATTGCTGCTGACTGGATGACTGACTTAAAGGAAGGCATTTGCCTTAGTGCTTTGTGGTTTAACCATGAACAGTGTTGTTGGGGTTCAAATGAGACCACATTTGAAGAGAGAGATAAATGTCCGCAGTGGAAAACATGGGCAGAACTAATAATTGGGCAAGCAGAAGTGAGTATATACCCATTCTTTTATGGTCTTGCTCAACAATTTGTGTGAATATGGAAAAAAAATAATGAACTTAAGTTTAGGGTTCTAAACACACTGTCTGCACCCTTTTTTCAGCATTTGATTTGATTAATAGGTTATAATGTAATACATGTGTATTTCATGAACTGCAAGGGGGCTTGGAGTGTTACAGGTGAAGGAAGTTATGAGAGTATAGAACTGTTAATAACACGAGAACTTCTGATCATAGCTGTACATAAAATAAATAAAAATTACATTTGTGGTGTTCTCTGATAACTAAGAATAGATTCTTCATTTTTTCTACTAAAATTTTTTTTAAATAAGGGTTTACTCAGTATTCAGCAGATTTTAACAGCTAATAGCTATTAAAAATACACCTGTGCTATGTTAATTTTTTGTATTTTTAAGATGAAATGTTAGAAGTTTATACCTTGTATAACCCAGTCTGTGCTGACATCATCACTTTATGCTTTTCAAACAAAACTCTCTTTCTTGATCTGGTAATAATTATTGTGCCTCAAAATGTGCACATAAACGTATTTGCAGCAAGAGTAGTTCTGGATTATTTTAAGTAGTAATTTTGCTCCTATGTCAAATTTATTTTCTGACTTTTTGTTTTTGCTTTTAGGGTCCAGGTTCATACATAATGAACTACATAATGTACATTTTCTGGGCATTGAGCTTTGCCTTCCTAGCAGTTTCTCTGGTGAAGGTATTTGCTCCCTATGCCTGTGGCTCAGGGATACCTGAGGTGAGGTCTAACTAAAACATATATTATAGCTGTTTCATGTTAATGTGAAAATTACTGCTGCCTTATAGGGTTGGGAGAAGGAAGAGGGAGCTCTCTGCCTAAGAAATCTATTAATACAGGTGTTCAGATTGAAAACATATAATTGTGTTAATTCTTTCTGGGAAAAATACCTGAAATATAAGAGAGTCTCCTGAGTTAGTAGATTTTGCTGCATGCTTCTGTCAGGACCACTGTTTAAGGAAGCATTTAGCTTAAGAGAGTATACTCCTGAAGAGTGATTTCCAAACCTACCCCAATCCTCACCCTCCCTGTGGAGGTAAGAGAATAGTGATTCATTGACAGAATACGGGTCCTTTGATACAGCAATCAATCTTTTGTTGCAGTGGCTTTAGTCCCTTTAACTAGCACAAATCAACACAGTCACAATGTAAAATGTGTAATACCCTCAAAAACTCACTGTTTGTATTGCTGTCTGCTACTATCCACGGAATGGGAGAGAAAAACCCAAAGTCAAATAAATTGCAATCAGTCTCACTTCTCCGGTCTTTCTGTAAATATTTCTTTATATATATGTTTTGTAGATGTTGAAGGACAAATCCTGCCTCTGAATAAGCCTGGAGTAGTCCTATGCCATTATTCCAGAAGAGATTTCATCCTAAATCGGTTTCCAGATTTAGCTATCTTTGTTTTCTAGGCACATCCTATTTATGGACAGGTTGTCCTTTCCTATGATAACTATATTATTTCCTATATATGGGCATATTTTTCAGGCTAATAATATGACATTAAGTACAGTAATATCTTAGGCAAGTGGCACATCTTTCCTGGTGGAGAAAAGCTGATCTTTTCCATTTTTATGTTAAGAAATCTACTGTTAATTTTTATGTAATGATGGTAAAACATAAAGAGAAAACAGGGAGGCATAATATTGGTGCAAATGGGATATTGCTACACTAGATGACCTTGGGTATAGGTTTTACAGGTTTATTTTTCCTTTGGAAGTTTTCTGCCTTTCAGTTGGTATTTACATCATAAACTAATGAACACAGTCTTAGAAGCTGCTGCAAATTAATTTACTACTAAATGTAATTGATAATATTGTTGTATGTTATTGTCCAGTGTTTTAGAGTAAGTTGCAAATGGAAAGCCTGTGGCAGCCAGATAGACTCAATGTAGCAATCTGAAAAATATGTGTTCTAAAGTGTGATAAAGTCAGTCATTTGAAAAGGCTGGTTTTTGAAGTTCTGCAGCTAAGATTATAAAATTATTTTCTGGAGAAAGCAGAATGCAATAACACATTATTATTTTTTTTTCCAGATAAAAACTATTTTGAGTGGCTTCATCATCAGAGGTTACTTGGGGAAGTGGACTTTGATGATAAAAACAATTACTTTAGTATTGGCTGTCGCATCAGGTTTGAGTCTAGGAAAAGAGGGTCCCTTGGTACATGTGGCCTGCTGCTGTGGGAATATTTTTTCCTACCTCTTCCCAAAATACAGTACAAATGAAGCTAAAAAAAGAGAGGTAAATTTTTGTAAAAGCATTTATAGAATGTATTAAATATCTGTGCATTTGCACTGATTTGTTTAAAAGATGGTATTTTTTCTCTTGGATAGTGTTTATCAGTAGTTATTTATTGTGTTAAGAACAATGTATCATGCCTAGCATTCTGAAAGGTGAATAATTTCCACGTCAGAGTCAGTTTGCATTTCTCCCATCTCAGAGACCATTTGATTATATTTAAATTCTTTCTGTTCTTGGCTCTATGTTTTGGTAATTGATGAATGTGTTCAGTTCTGAGGACAGCAGAGTACTCTGAACCCATGAACTATGTATTCCTGGTTACAACAGTGTTTTCTGCTCTGTTTCAGTTTGATGCTTTTAGTGATGGTGGGTTAGACTTGTTGCCTGCCAAGTTGTTCTCTCACCCCTCTATCTTGACAAGACAACAGGATAGAATAAGATGAAAAGCTCATCGGTCAAGATAAGGACAGGGAGATCCCACCCTCAGCAGTTATCACAGGCCAAACAGACTACACTTGAGGAAAGTTACTTTATTGCCAGTTAATAACAGAGTAGGATAGTGAGCAATAAAACAAAACTAAGTACACCTTGCACCTCCTCTCCCTTCTTCTCAGGCTCAGCTTCACTCCGAATTCTTCTATCCCAAAGCCCCATCAAGGTGATGCTTTGTCTCTGCTGCTCCTTCCTCTTGATACTCTTCCCCTACTCCAGGGTGGGGTCCTACCCATGGGAGACAGTGCTTCACAAATTCCTTCAGCATGGGTCCTTTCCAGAGGGTGCAGTCATTCAGGAATGGACTGTCTCAGCCCAGATCAGCCACAGGTTGCAGTGCTTGCAAGAAACCTTCTCCTGCTTGGGCTTCTCTCCACAGGCCATGGTTCCTGCCAGAAGCCTGCTCTGCCACAATCCTCCATGGGCTGCAGGGGGACAACCTGTGTCACCACAGGCTTCATCACGGGCTGCAGGGGAATCTCTGCTCTGGCACCTGGAGCACCTCCTCCCGTTCCTTCTTTACTAACCTTAGTGTCTTCAGGGCTGTTGCTCTCACATTTTTCTCACTCCACTCTCTCACAGCTGCTGTGCAGTGGTTTGTATCCTTTTAAGTATCACAGAGACACTACCAGCATCACTCATGGGCTCAGCTTTGGGCGGGGACAGGTTCATTTTGGAGCCAGCTCTGTTGGACATGGAGGCAGCTTCTGGTATCTTCTGACAGAAGCCAACCCCTGCAACCCCTCTACTACCAAAACCTTGTCATGTAAACCCAATAGAGGGAGCCATGCTGTTGAAAGCAAGTATAGTCAGAGAGAATAGCAAGCTCTAACATTCTTACTAATTTAATAAAATTTTTGTATTGTAAAATTAAAAAGGGTGTTATCTGAGCCGTGCTTCAGTTCTCAGCTCAAGTTCTCTACTTCTACAATGAGACTGCAGAACATGGGAAAATTTGGTTCACTTCCTATTTCAAAGTTCTGTATTCTTAAATCATTTAGCTTACTGTGGTTTAACTGCTCATCTCAGAACACTGTAATAATTGTTTGAGTTTCTCTGTGTATTCTTCAACAGGTGTGTTAAGGGCTATTACCCAGGGGTCAGTGTTCTTGCAAGGAATTTATACAGTATTGTTATAATTAGCACTAACCATCCTCATATATTGAACATAATTCATCCATGATGCTGTAGGACCACTTGCTGCTTCAGTTCCTCTTAATCTCTCAGTTCATCTCAGTTCACCTCAGTCCTTTTTCTGGGTTTTTGCTTGAAGACTACTGAGTGCAAATCTCCAGGACTCATATAAAAGCTATGTAGTCTGTCATTGATTTATGTCCCTTAATAATATTAGTGACTTATGGAGTTCTTTACCACACACATGTAGAAAAAATAGACTATTTCAATTGGAAGGGACCTACAATGATCATCCAGTCCAGCTGCCTGACCAGTTCAGGGCTGACCATAAGCTAAAGCATGTTGTAAAGGGCATCAACCACCTCTCTAGGAGGACTGTTCCAGTCTGACCACCCTCTCAGTAAAGAAATGCTTCCAAATGTCCAGTCTACATATCCTGTGGCACGGCTTTAAAGCATTCTCATGTGTCTTATCACTGGATATCATGGAGAAGAGCTCAGCATCTCCCTCTCCATTTCAACTCCTCAGGTAGCTGTAGAGAGCAATAAGGTCTCCCTTCAGCCTCCGTCCCTCCAAACTAGACGAACCAAATGTTCTTAATCAGCCCTCCCAGGACACTCCTTCCATCCCTGTCACCAGCTTTGTCCTCCTCTTCTGGATGCAGCCAAGGACCTTCACATCCCTCTTGAACTGTGGGACCCAGACCCGCACGCAGCACTCCAGGAGAGGCCACCCCAAGGCTGAATGCAGTGGCACAGTCACCTCTGCTGACTGGCTGGTTGTGCCATGCTTGGCTGGTTGTGCCATGGTGACTGGCTGGTTGTGCCAAAGCCCCAGGATGGGCTTTGCCCCCTGGGCTGCCTGGACATGCTGCTGACTCACACTGAGCTGCTGCCCATCAGCACCCCCAGATGCCTCTCTGCAGGGCTGCTTTCCAACCAGTCCTCTCCCAGTTTATACTTGAGCCTGGTGTTACTTCATCCTGGGTGTGCAGCATTTTGACTCATTAAATTTCATCCCATTAACTACTAATTAACCAATGGAGCATTAACCAATGCTCCAGTCTATCTAGATCCTTCTGCAAGGCCTCTTGTCCCTCAGGAGAGTCAATAACATGTCCTTGTTTGGCATAATCAGCAAACTTACTCATGGTGCCTTCAACTCCTGCATCCACTGAACAGAATGTTGGTGACCAGTCGCCTGCTAGATGTAGCTCCTTTCACTACAACTCTTTGAGTCCTGATGTTCACCCAGGTCTTCACCTGTTCATCTCACAGCTGGACAACTGGTCCAGAAGGATGCTGTGAGGGACAGTATCAAAAGCCTCACTGAAATCCAGAAAAACTACATCCAGAGCCTTCACTTTGTCCACTGGATGGGTGACCTTATTATAGAAAGATACCAAATTAGTTAAACAGGACTTTCCTTCTGTGAACCCATGTTGACTGTGCCTGATGATTGCTTTGTTATTTAAAAGCCTTTCAGTGGCACCCAGTATAATCTTCTCAGCTCCTTGAAAATTGTGGAGGTTGGAGGTTAGGCTAACAGGTCTTTATTTCTCTGGGTCTTCCCTCATGCCCTTGATTGGACTAACACTGGCTAGCTTCCAGTCTGCCAGATCCTTCCCAGATTCCCAAGAGCTTTGGTAGATGATTGAGAGGGGTCTAGCCATAACATCCGCTAGCTCCTTCAGTACTCTGGGAAGAATCCCATCCGGCTCCATAGACTTAGTAACATTCAGCTGATAGAGCTGGCCCCTTACAATTTCAGTGTCCACAGATGGAAAGTCACTATCCCCACACTTGTGGTCATCTGACTCAGGGTACCAGGCAGCCCAAGGTCTATCAGTATTATTAAAAAGAGTGAGGAAAAAAAAAAAACATGGAATGCCTATGCTTTTTCCTCGTCCATATTAGTTAGATGTCCATCTTCAACAAGTATCAGTTCAGTGTTTTCCTTAGACCTCCTCTTGCTATTAATGCATTTAAAAAAACCCTTCTTTTCATCTGACACAACACTGGCTAGTTTCAACTCTGAACTTTGAGCAGTCTCCTTGGCTTTCTCATGTCTAGTACCTGATTGATGGCTGCTATGGCCACTCTCCACATCTTAGGAGCATTCTCATACACTTACTTCATGCTTTTCTGTTACTAAATCTGTGTATCCTTAACAGAAACATAGAAGAAACTGATAGCTGTAGTAAGATTCTGTTCTTCATGTTTTAAACATAAAACAAACTGCAAAAAACCACTCACCTTTGTTCTTTTCCAGGTGTTGTCAGCTGCCTCAGCAGCGGGAGTTTCTGTAGCCTTTGGTGCCCCAATTGGGGGAGTCCTTTTCAGTCTGGAGGAGGTATGTCAAGAGATGGCACTGAAGGATAGATATTTTTAAAAAGTCTCTTTTAGCTTAAATAATCTCGGACTCCTTTAAGCTGCAGAGTCTTTCCTAAGAAGGGAGTTATTTTTTGACCCACATTTCAAAGTCAAGAGTCCTCCTAAAGATATTTTTTCTTTTCTTTGGATGAATGTCAGCTTTCCTTTATTCTCAGTTATTTTTTTCTGGAGAAGGGCTGAGTCCATTAGTAATTACAGTTTACATACAGATAGAGATACAGTATCTTTTCAGTCTAGGAGTTTATTCTGAAAAAAAATAAATAGGACTGTTATTTTTCATTTTGAAAGAGGGTTTAGAAACTTACTGGACAGTTTTGTGAAGCAAGTTTTTAAACATTATTTAAAGTTTCTGACACTAAACACAATTGAATATAATAATTATTAAAAGGGCAAATATGCTACAAAACTGATCTGAAAGGCAACCAAACTCTTTTCTCCAAAGAATAATTAATATTAAATTAGTTTTAATTAATCATTTTCAAAATATATAAGAATGTTATTCCTATAATTGGCATTTTTAAAGAAAACTAAAAATCTATTAATTAAAAAAGGAAGCAAAATATTCTTTCATGTATAATTTTGTTATATCCTTAGGGGGTTTTGAGAAATACCTTCGTTGCCAAAAAAATGCAGAAGAAAACTCTTGAAATTCAAATCAGGCTATGTGGGGCTTAAGTATGAAATTTGCATGTTCTGTTTTGAGGACTTTGATGTTTTTGTTGTTGTTGTTTTAATCATACTTCCTAAAAATAACAGATCTGTCAGAAACCTTTCAATGTAGATTGAAAGGAGATGAAACTATTAGCAGGAAATTTGAGAATGCAACTAGTACAAAGCCTGGTTCTCATGAATGCTAAAAAGAGACACAAACAGAGTAGCCTATAAACATAAATTACTGTGCATCATTTCCTAACAGTCTTAAAACAGCAGTCGTTTCAATACTGCTGCAGTATTGACTTTAAAACTGATACAAGTATGAGTTGTTGTAGAGCTTTTTAAAAATGTAGGATGTGCTGGAGTGCCAGTGCTCCAGGTGATCGGAGTAATACTGAAAATCTAAGAGTACCTTTTTTTTTAGCTTAAACCATGTGAGCAGCAGTGCTCTAACACATGCATAAACTTGTCTTTCCATTTTTTTAAATTGATTTACTAATAATTTTCATGTATTGCCTTTTGCAGGTCAGTTACTATTTCCCACTGAAAACTTTATGGAGATCATTTTTTGCTGCTTTAGTAGCTGCGTTTGTTTTAAGGTCCATCAATCCTTTTGGTAATAGCCGCCTAGTTCTTTTTTATGTGGAATATCACACTCCTTGGTACCTTTTTGAACTGCTTCCTTTTATTCTTCTGGGAGTATTTGGTGGGCTCTGGGGAGCGTTTTTCATCCGAGCAAATATCGCATGGTGTCGTCGACGCAAATCTACAAAATTTGGGAAGTATCCTGTCCTGGAGGTTATTATTGTTGCAGCAATAACAGCTGTCATTGCATTTCCTAATCCATATACAAGGCTAAACACCAGTGAGCTTATTAAGGAGCTCTTCACAGACTGTGGGCCGTTAGAATCCTCCTCGCTCTGTGACTACAGAAATGATATGAATGCAAGCAAAATAGTAGATGATATTCCTGACCGTCCAGCAGGCACTGGAGTCTATTCAGCTATATGGCAGTTGTGTTTAGCACTCATATTTAAAATAATCATGACAGTCTTCACCTTTGGTATCAAGGTAAGTGTGAATGCAATAGCTGTATCATCTGCTGTGATTTTTTAATTATTGCCTTTCACATTTTCCGTCTCTCAAAGCTAGCAGCTTTGTTTATAGATTTTTTTTTTCATGTGTAGTTCTTTTAAAAAAGGTCTTTTTACTGTTGGTTAATAAGCAAGTCTTGTAGAAAACAATACTAAGTTTATTTAAATTCAGATTAGCCCTTTATTCAGCTGAATAGAAGCATATGCTAAATGCAATAGGGAGCAGGAACTGTGTGGATGGATGGCTGTTTGTGTGGCATGATTCAGCAATAGGGTTGATTCTAAAATTTTCAAGAGCAGAGTTCAAATATAACCACTCAAATTCTCTAGTCCTGTTACAGAGAAGAAGACTGTACCCCTTGAACAACTTGTAGGTGGTTGAGTTTTTTTAATCCACTCTCCTCATTTTTCATGTAAATTTAATTACTGTGGATGTTAAAGGCAGATAATGATGATTTCTTTTGCTGTATTTTCCAGTATTGCATGTGTTGAAGAGAAAGTGAGCTTTGTTTATGTGATTGTAATGGGAACTTCTCCATCACAAGCAGCATAATTTTTGTTTTTCCTGGTTGTTTAGTAAATCTGTTTTGGAGATGTCTTCAGCTTTTCCCGAGTCCATGACTGTTTTCTGAACGACATATAACTGTCATACTCTCATAATTTTCTGTCTTGTCAGGCTCCCTTCATAGTTTTTTCCATTATCAAACGTGTCTTAATGCAAACATATTGTAGAATGTTCACTAAGCCAGATTTGCCTTTAAATTGGCTTTAACTTTTCAGTTTACATTGCTGTTCCATGTAACACCATGCATAAAAAACCACTTCCTTTCTGTGAGTGTGTTTGATCATTGGAATAGGTTGTCCAGAGAACATCCTTGGAAATATAACCTGACTGGTTACAAGCCCGGGCAACGTGCTGTAGTTAACCCTGCTTGAGCATAGTAGACAATCTGGAGTGGTCACATTCAATCTCAACTCTTCTGTAACTGATAGAACAGTAACATGTTTCTCATGTGTTGATATTTTTAAAGGTATTGCAGTTTGCTATTTGAAGTTATTTTCCATATGTTTGTTGATGGGTAAGAGAAATCCATTGTATGTATTTTAAATGTTAGTCTTCCATAAGTCCAAAATTCAGACATTATTCTATGACATGACAACTCCAATCTGTTGTTTTGTTTTGTATTCACTTACTGTATTTCATTTATATCTAGGACTTTCTTTTACTATTCATGTGTTCCTGTGCATCTGGCTCTGTCTCACAGGGTTGTCACCACAGGGTCACACTGTGTGTATTTGAATTCACTAGTTCTCAGAATGGTAGAGCTTATACCTCATTTGGGTTTGGTTCATTTTCTCAGAACTTCAGTGTGGTGGAAATATTTTTGTGAAGTTGTGAGAATATATTCATTACTTTGCCAATACGCAAGGAGTCATGCTGCTGTCATTGATGGGACTCTGCTACGTAAATTTCTTTGAAGCTTTTAAACATGTGGTTGGTTAGAATGTCAGCCAGGATCTGGAGAAGGGATGTCACTTTCATGTTATTTATTTACATTTTAAACTTTATCTCTGTAAAAAGAGCAAATTAAGAATTAAAAGCAAAGAAAAAGACAACTTTGTTATTTAAATAATTCTAAAGGATCCTCTGAGCTCTCCATGTCTGTTCCTTGCAGACATGTCTTTTCCCCACAGGAACTGTTTTCCTGTGAGGTAAGCAAAGAAACTTAGCTGCTGCCAGTGGCGCACGGTGATTCCTGCTGCTCTTACTGCTGTGAAAAAGCATCACCAGGAGGCTGATATGGCAGGGCTTTGGGGTTTTTTGGGTTGTTTTGGTTTGTTTTTTCCTTTCAAGCTTTTGTATGTATACCGTACTGCTTATAATCAGTAGACTCATTACTGTGTCTAAATGCTGATCAACAGTTGGGGTGCACAACTGCACAACTGCAGTTGGGGTGCACAACTGCACTACTAAAGAAGTGGAAAGTTGTACCCGTATTCTGATCCTTGCTTGTTTCAAAGATGTTACATGTGCCACAGAACATATGTTTTCCTCTGTAGTATAACTTGAGCTAGGCTGGCAAGCACTGGAGAAGAAAAGGAAGAACTTAACCTTTTTCCTTGCTCCTTCTCTGTGAAGATTCCTCTTCACTTTGTGATTGTGATCCAGTGGCTTATGCAAATGAATGCAGCTGTAAAATCATAGTTACAGTTAGTCTTGTAACCATTATGTGCATATAATGGAAAGAAGAGAAGGAGCTAGTGCATAAAAAAGTTACGTTAACAAAGGACCAGAAACAATTTGGATGCAATTTCCATGTGGAGACTTAATTTATGCAGCATACTGCTGTAGCAAACTAGAATCTGAGGCAATTTCAAAGATTTACTTAGTTGTTTTATGTTGGAAACATGGGAGGTTTTTTGGGATACTGTTGTACTGTTCACCAAGAAGGAATTTCACTCAGGAAAAATATTTTATTTTAACAGTTAGAAAGGGGTTTAGATGCATAATTAATTGTGGGCAATAACAGCAGGGTATAAATGTACAATTTGAATATTAGACTAAAATGATAGCATTGAATATTACCTCTATCAACACTGAAATATTAGGTAATTCAGGATGGGAATGAAGGATTATTAAACTTTTTCTCAAAACCTGTGCTGCTGGCTTTCTAACACAAAGTTTACTATGTTTGTTTTTACTTGGTTTGTTGCTTAGAAATCATCTTTGCAACCATAAATGTAGACAAAATATAATAGTAACTGAAATACGGTTCTGCACTAGCTATTGAATACCACAGCAAAAATCTGTAGTTTGGAATTGCACAATACTTAAATTTCACAGCTGTACAGTACAAGAAAAAATATATGATTTGTCTTGTTACACCAGGCGTGCAGTTTTTTAATGACATTATTTTGACAGGTTGATGGGTTGAAGTGCGTTTAGATGAAGTAAAATTCCAGTCCTCATTTGTAGTCAGATTTGTAGTTCAGTCACAATATAAAATACTTTGATGCTAACAGCTGCTGTGAGGAGATGCAGTGGGCATTTCCAGTTTAATGAGACATTTAGGCACCAGTATGTTTTCTGGAAAGATTAGCTTCCTAAGGAGAAGATACACAATGACAGTTTTTGAGATGAACACTTATTCTTTATGAAACTGCTGATAAAAGCAAGTTTGCAATAATATTTTACTAAGCTATGTTGGTGTTACAAGGCTTTGTGCCCTTTTCAGGTTTTAGTTAATAGCAGAAAAACATTTTAAGTAACTAAAATGACAGTAGGAACATTTTTTAACCTGTGTTTACTCCTTTTTGCAATGGGAATTGTCTTGCCTTTTTTTCTCTTAGTGTATTTAGCATTCTGTATACACTCCTTTGTATAGGAAATGGCAGTATAGTAAGCAAAGCCTCTTTTAAAAATCACCTGTTTAGTTAGCCATCTAATTTTTAGCAGTGTCAGGAAGCAGTTAGGAAGGGCAGTCCTGTTCAGTTAAGTGAATGTTGACTCTGAGGAACATGAAGTAATAAGGGAGATGGGAAATAGTAAGGAACACTTCAGTACTAGTAGCACGGCTCGAATTGGACATGCATATGGTAAGAATTGTGCTGTTGGCACTGAGGATGTAGTTTGTGGTCCTGTGCAGGTGATAGATTTTCTCTTAAATACAGTAAAATATAAACAAGTATGGTCATGAAATGATTTTAGCTAATTAGGTCAATCAGAGATATCAATAGCATTCTATTAGGTTTTACTAACCTTTCAAGGTCACCTTACGTGGTTTTAACCTGAGAATTTGAGCATTTGCATCTCTTTTGGAAGAAAAAAGTTACTTGTAAAGCAATGTGTCAGGTCTGTTCCCAGCAGCATGACACCAGTTCTGTTTCTGTTGCAGGTTCCATCTGGGTTGTTCATACCTAGTATGGCAATTGGAGCAATAGCAGGACGGATTGTAGGAATTGCAGTGGAGCAGCTGGCATACTACCATCATGACTGGTTCATTTTCAAGGAGTGGTGTGAAGTTGGAGCTGACTGTATTACACCTGGTCTCTACGCCATGGTTGGTGCTGCTGCGTGCTTAGGTAAGTAAAATATAACAAAGTAAATAAGTATCTGATTTTTTCATACATCAAAATAATTATTAAAAAAATTAAAGGAGATATAAGCAGGGCAGTTTTGAAACACCTGTTTCTATGGACTTCCCTCTTCAGAATAATACATTCAAGTCGCTACAGAAGACCCTCTGATCACAAGGATCTAAGAAATAACATGAAATCTAAATTGATGAGAAATAGAAAAATTAAGTAGTACTGTTTACTTTCTCTTTTTGATATAAAGAGGTGTTATTACTACATCAGTCAGAAAAATCAGTTTCTTGAAATGTATGAAGTAGAGCATTTACAGGGTCAAGTACAGTTAAAATTGTTAGAAGTAATGTGATCAGTTGCCACATCTACATGAATTGCAAAAATTGTTCTTGAAATTCATAATCCAAACAAAACTTTCAGAAGTGTGTAATGTATTTTTAACAAATCTGGTTTACAAAGTGTTGAAAATCCACTTCATGGAAAGATTTTTAAGCTGGGCACCTAAACTAGGAGAGGGCTTTTGAAGGTCTTGTCCTAGCTTATAACTTAGCTGCCTTGGAAATTAAACTTAAAAGCTGTTAGTACAGATTTTGCAAAAAGTAGACCTCTTCTTTAATGAAAAGTGTGTTTGAGCAATCAAATAACGTGTGAAACAAATTTAGGTTTTGGAGAGGTTGTTTTGTTTTTTAATAGTTCCACTTGAATCACTTTTGAATGCATTGAAAGACAGATCATATTCTTTTACTGAATAAAGATGTGGCATCAGAAACCTTAGCAGAAAAAAAAAATCTTAAATGCTAACAAAAAGAGAAATACAATCCCTGTCTTCTCCTGTTGTCCAAGAAAAAGTTTTCTTTTCATCAGCTCAGAATTCTCTTTAGTTTTACAAGTTAGCAACAGCATTAAATTCCTAATTCTTTGGACAACATAACTGTTGAATTGCTACCTGTGACTTCCTGCATTAATTCCATTCTTTTTTTCGCATTCTTATCTTACTGGATTTCCTTGCATTTCACAGTACTTTTAACCCTGATGTGGTGTGAGATAGACACAGTTTTAGTCTTAGTTTATAATAATTGACTGTACATATTTTCCAATTCCCTTTATTATCTCCCTTTCTGTGAGTTTTCCCTGAAACTCTCTTTTTCACTTCTAGAAGTTTTGTGTAAATTTTCTCCATTTGCTTCTGTCGGTGTTATACAGAAAGATGTTTGTCAAATGACTTTTCATGGCAAAATTGCGTTTGTAGTTCTCAACAGGAAGTCAGGAAATTCTAAATTCATCATTATCTGATACTAGAATGTTACTGGCTACCATTTTTCTTGCAGGTGGTGTGACAAGGATGACTGTGTCCCTGGTAGTTATTGTCTTTGAGCTAACAGGAGGGCTGGAATATATTGTGCCCCTTATGGCTGCAGTCATGACCAGTAAGTGGGTAGGAGATGCCTTTGGTAGGGAAGGCATCTATGAGGCACACATCCGACTGAATGGATATCCTTTCTTGGATGCAAAGGAAGAATTTACTCACACGACACTGGCTGCTGATGTTATGAGACCTCGAAGAAGCGATCCACCTTTAGCAGTTCTGACACAGGATAATATGACAGTTGAAGACATAGAAAACTTGATCAACGAAACCAGCTATAATGGTTTTCCTGTTATTATGTCAAAAGAATCACAGAGACTGGTGGGCTTTGCTCTAAGAAGAGATTTAACTATTGCAATAGGTAATTAAGTTCCAGTATTGCATTATTATATGTGCAAATTTAAATTATTTTATATCATTTGATATTTAAAATAGAATTTACTCTGTGTGTTTCTGGACTTATTTCAGGTTTATTAAGTATATTATTATCTTCATTAGCAGGCTCTGAAATGAAGAAAATGCTCATCTGTTTTTGTCTCCTGTCATAAAAACAAAAATCATACTCAAGTAGGCCAAAACATCATCTAATTTGATATTTTGTTGGGTTTTTTGAGGCTTTTGATAGTATCTCATTTCCTCAAGTGATGCTACACTAACATTCTTCTTCAAAATTGAGTACTTGTCATTTTAGACCAGCAGGATTCTGTGAGAATTACTGTCTGAGTAATTTTTTAATGTATATCCTATTTCTTTCTGACAGTATGTTATTTACTGTCATTATAACAATTGAGATTGTTTTATGGAGAGATAAGCGCAATATTAATTACTTCAGATTTCTATTTTTCAATTTGTTTGTGTAATGGGAAATTTGTCCCTGGGCACATGAGCACACAAGCCCTGTTTGGGCCCTCTTTCTCTGAGTGAGTTTTAGCACTTGTGTGATACCTGTGACAATGCTTTGTACACTAGCAAGAAAAATTCTCTGGATTCTGAGGATACTACCATAATCAAAGGAAAAAAAGCATTGTCATGTAAGAAAATGCTACAAAACTGTAACATTTGGTGCATGAAATCAGTGATGAAAGTTGCATCTTAACCTACTATTTTTTTGAGAGGTATCTCTTTAACGAAGACACCTGAGAAAGAGACAAAATGTCTCCTGAAAGTTTTTTAAAATATATTTTGTGTACACCACACTGTTTACTTCAGGAAAATTTTTGCCTATGGTCTTAATACCGTAAATACAATGGTATTACATTATGTAGGACATATGTGAATGTCCAAAACTTGGAAATTATTATAGACATATAGAAATTATTATATACTCGTTTAATTTTGCATTTACTTGAGTAAATGGGGAAATAGCAGAACATTCTTCTAATAATACACTTTCACTGGTAAGACTCGTGTCGGCTGCTAAGATTGTACAGTGCAAGTTGCTTAGTCTTGCATTGTGGCTGGTTTGAGTCATTGTGCCCTGGCAGCCAGGAGGACCAACCGTGTCCTGAGGGGCATCAGGCAAAGCATTGCCAGCCAGTCGAGGGAGAGGATTGTCCCACTCTGCTCTGCACTGGGGCAGTATCACCTTGAATATTGTGTGCAGTTTTGGGCACCATAATATATTAAGCTCTTAGAAGAGTGTCCAAAGGAGGGCAACAAAGATGATGAAGGGTCTAGATGGGAAGCCATACAACGAGTGGCTGAGGTCACTTGGTTTGTTCAGCCTGAAGGAGACTTAGGGGAGACCTCATTGCAGTCTTCAATGTCCTCATGAGGGGAAGCAGGGAGGCAGGTACCAATTTGTTTTCTCTGTTGACCTGTGAGTGGACCCAATGGAATGGCCTGAAGTTGTATCAGGGGAGGTTTAGGTTGGATATTAGAAAAAAGTTCTTCACCCAGAGGGTGATCAGTTACTGGAACAGGCTCTCCAGGAAGAGGTCACAGCACCAAGCCTGACAGAGCTCAAGAAGTGTTTGGACAAGGCTCTCAAACACGTAGTGAGATCCTTGGCGTGGTCCTGTGCAGGGTCAGGAGTTGGATTTTTAAGATCCTTGTGGGTCCCTTCCAATTCAGGATATTCTGTGATTTTATGATTGTGTGAAATAGTCCATAGTATGGGAGGGAATGTCACCAGCGTGATGAACACATGAAAAGAAAGAGGATTCTGTTCACAAAAAAGCGAAATAAATTCATTATAAACGAGAAGGCAACATTTTCAGAGTGGTCAGAAATTCTTTGGTTTCAAAGCAATAATAATTACAGCCCTTGGAATCATGACAGGGGAGCTGTCAATTGGGATTGTTGACAGTTTCTTCAGCAGTTGTCTGTGTGCTTCCTGCATATTATTTTTTACGCCTTTCCACCTCTTTATAGTAAATAAGAGTTATTAATTGGAATGAGAAAAGTAGTAGTCAAAGAATGACTAAAGCTAAATGGTGTGATTTCTGCACAAAGACTTTTTGGGGATAAAGCAGTGGCTTTGGAAACACATCGAAATAGCATAGATCAGAATATCAGCATCACTAACATCAGTCTGGTATTGTTGATAAATCTGTCTGTCTGCACTAACTTACTTTACTCCGAAAATGTAAATTCTTCCTCCTCTGCTGTTTTTCCCCCCTTCCCTCTTTTTCTTAAAGAAAGTGCTAGAAAGAAGCAGGAAGGGATTGTTGGCAGTTCCAGGGTCTGTTTTGCCCAGCATACCCCATCGCTTCCAGCAGAAAGCCCTCGACCTTTGAAGCTTAGAAGCATACTTGATATGAGTCCTTTCACCGTGACAGACCACACACCAATGGAAATAGTGGTGGATATTTTCCGGAAGCTGGGTCTGAGGCAGTGCCTTGTAACACACAACGGGTGAGTAAAGTGGCAGCAATGCTGTTCATTTTGTTAATACAGTAATTTTCACTTCCAGGATCAGAGTGTTTGAACCGCGATATACACTATGATCATGGTATTTGAACCCGTAAGTTTGGCATTGCAACTGAGAAGCCCAACTGTTCATTAAGAAGGTGCTGTGCTGTAGCATGTCTCTAAAATTCTTACTTCTCCCTTGTATTCCAAGTAAGCAGGCAGATGATTTTAGTAATTTTACCATGTTCTGTTAAAAGTTAGCTGCCATTCAGCAAGTTTGGTGTATGCAACTTGCTTGAGGAGGAGGAGACAAAATTTGTCTCGCAGAAATTTAATCTTGTGTGGTGCACAGCGTAAGGCCTCTATTTCCTTGTTCTTATCTGTGTTCTGGCAACATGCAATGTACTAGCAGCTGTTGAACATGTACAAATATCTGGGTTCATAAAGAGGAGGAAAAGGAAGAAAATGTTCCAGTCAATATCTCATCTTCTGGAGTTTAGTGATGGCAATTACCACTAAGCTTTTGTTTTTGGAATACTAACAATTAAATAACTGCTGCTAGTTCTGGAACTTCAATCTGCAACTTTTGCTTCTACAATTCAAAATATTTCAGGAAAGTAATTTTAAGATTTAGAATGTTTGTAAATGAGACTATAGGGAGTAGTCCTGTGATTACCCTTAAATAAATCAGCCTCAGGCATGGAAACATAAATGTTCATTATAATTGCCTCTTATCTAAATTACTCTTCGGTTTTTTTACATGATCTTTTCCTGTGCAGCTAATCCTTTGCCATTCTGCTTTCCTGTATCTCTTGCATTAAACACTTGACATGCAACATGCTCCTACCATAATATCCTGCTTTCCCTTTAGCATGTCTTTTAAGGCACGTGGGGAGTGAAACTTTGTCTGCTCATCCACATGTTTAGGATCAATGGCCATGGGACAAGAAATCTGAAATATGGGTGGGACTTTTTGTTTTGCTGTAGGCCAAAGGACTGCTGGTATAAATGGCAAATATTTAAATATTGCATTGGTTTCCAAGTGGTTTTTTTCAGATGTATTTTAAAATAAATTTATTTTAAATGTTCTCCTGCTTTTTTTTTTTTCTTTGATGCATCCCTGTATGGAATGGCAAGTAATGTTTCCAGAAGCATAAATGACTTTAAAAGCCTTTCTCTGGTAGGGAAAGGATATCATGATCTGACACACAGAAGTTAGTGCAGGCATGCAATTATTTTTGTTTTGGGGCTGGAAATTTGAATTGATAGAACTTAAGAATATTTACTGTGATAATTTTTTTCTCAATTTCTGTTGTGGTTGAATGCTGAAACATTGATGTTAAAATCGCCTCTAAAGAAAGCTTCATCATGCAAAGCTATGTCAAACTCTACTATAAGTTTTTAACTATTTTATGGTAAAGTAGCAGCAAGTTTAATATTTATTGAACTACTTCAATTTACAAATTTGTGATATTCCATGAGCATACTGTCCATTACAACAAGAGCAGATCATAAATACTAGTACTGGTGATATTTAGCCATGGGTTTGTATAGCCTTGTGGACATCAAGGAGTATTTTGGCAAATTTCCTGCAAACAGAATATAACCACATAAAGACACGCATCAGCATACTGGTTCCAATCCAGATCGGATTGTGCAGAAATTGGTGCTGATGACAGAGAAAAGACTGTCCCTCACTCTTCCTAATTTGTACCAGAATTCCAGGGAGTTGTTCTTGATTTATACTGTCCTGAACAAAAAATCTGTTTGAATTTGGCAGTTTCTAGGGACACCAAATAACCTGGATCTCTAGGAGAGCTTCGAACCTAAAGTGCTGTACTTTACACAGTTACTACTTTGTTCATCTACTGTGGCTTGTTAAAATGTGAATAATTATCTTCATGTGTGAGGAGAAATAACTACTGAACAAAGGAAATACAAAGTAGATTTTAGTTTCAGTGCCTTTAAAACCCAAAAACACATGAATCTGAGGAGAAGGGATAAAGTAAGCTCCCCTGATGTGTACCTGATATGAGAAACATGTCGCTCTGGAGTCACTGAATTGTGTTCAGCATTTTGGGAGAAAAAGAAGAAAAGCAAAATCTGGGAAAGGGTACTGACTTTCAAATAAGTTTTCAGTTAATTATCTCATTAGCTTTCCTGCAACCATTCTTTTGGTTTTGTTTTTGGTTTTGTTTTTTTTTTTGTTTTGCTCTATTCTAATCCTTTTCCATTATGATTAGAACTTTTTTTTATTTGATTTCACACAGTTATTAGCATAACGTGATCTGTTTCAGGATTGTCTTGGGGATCATCACAAAGAAGAACATATTAGAGCATCTCGAGCAACTAAAGCAGCACGTCGAACCCTTGGTGATTAGATATATCAGATCTCATAATTAGACACATTAGAAGTCAGGAAGCATGAAACTTGTGAACTGTTCAGGGCTTTTATGACGTCGGCTGAACAATGAAATCATCTTATGCTCAAAATTTGTATTCAACCATAAAACAGTATGTGCAAAATCCTTTTGTAGAAATGAAGCTGTTAATGTGGACATACTGTTAGTCACAACATTAAAGGAAAGTAAACAGTAGACTTTCTGATACTTGTGTTGTTGAGATTATGTAGATCCATCTGGTTGATTGATTTCCCCAGGTGGGAAAGCACACACCTAGGAATACTTTTCCCCCACCTAATGCAAATTAAGACTTTCATATATGCCAATTCCTTTTTCTGATCAGGACAGCTTTAAATAGCTGTTAAATAGCAAAGTATCACATCTTCTGAGAAGCAAAGACAAGCGTGTTTTAACCACAGCATTAGATCTTCCCTGTAATCCCCCTTTATCAACGTGATTTTTAAAAATATTTTTATTTTTAGTAAAGTCCTGTGATTTTATGTAAAGTCCTGTGGTTCTGCTGCTGATACCTACAGCAGTTAGTGCACCCCTTTATAAAATGTTCAGTGATATCCAGAGCCACTAAGTGGCATGCTACTATGTTGACTGTTGACTTCAGAATCTAGATATAGTTTTAACCATGATGTTGTGAACTAACCTTAGATAGGTGGTAAACTTTGTCTTAATTTGGACATGGGTTGCTAGTTACATCTCTACTATACATATCCACCACATTTAGCTGCTTATGTGCAAAACATGCTAATTATGTTCTCACTTTATGCTAATATTTCACAAGTATTTCATGCATCCTTTAATAAGACAAATTGAAATGTACTAACCAGAATAATAAGGGCAGCAGCTCATTCATTCTGCTCTTTGCTTCTCTTGTGATATTATCCTTTTGGACAGTCTCACTCTATTTGATGTTTCACAGTTATAATTTTGAAAGACCCTCTCATAAGAGCACTGTATCTAAATTGGAAAATGAAGATTTTCTTTTAGTATTCACAGTTGATTTCCTAAAGCCATGAATTCCAAAAACTATTTAACTGTTGTTTATTTTACAAAAGTTTCATGGCTGATACAGCGTGCTCCTAAGAATACATTCAGCCTGAGCCAGTGCATCAGACTGGAAGGATCCTTAAGGTTTTAAAATGGAGGGAAGGGGAGTTTGATTTGCTGTTAGGATTTTGGGCCATCGAGCAGTACATCACTTCTGATGGCTAGGTTGGAACATATCTCCCTTATTAAATGGGATCAATATCACTTCTGTTTCATACGTCTCTTTTCTTTGTCCCTCTTTGTTACTTTTTTGTTGGCATACACTAATCAAAATTTGATTTTTGTAGAAATGAAAAGTTAAAAATTGTGATGGGCTCTACTTGTATTACTCGTATTTCATTAAAATGGACTACAGCTGTCAGAGACCATCTGATACGGTGTCTCAGCATTGCTGTGTTTTATCAAACTTGTGGTTCGTCAACATTCTGATTAATAAAATGTTTTTGTTTAAATGAGAAAATCAGGCTGTTTACTTTTGCTCTATTCCTGTCAACAAAAAGGACTTGGCTACAGATTTGTTCTGCTTTATTATTTCTCTGCCTGGATTAACATCAGTCTTCCATTTATCCTTTTCAGGCGCCTCCTTGGCATTATAACAAAAAAAGATATCCTCCGTCATATGGCCCAGACGGCAAACCAAGACCCCGCCTCCATAATGTTCAACTGAAACCCATAGCTGAGGAGAGAGAGGAAACGGAAGAGGAGGTTCATTTGTTGAATAGCACAACACTTTAGTCTGGGGAGTACTTCTAAAATCAGAGACAAGAGCTGGGGTTTTGTGTGACAGTGCTGCTGGCAATCAGGAGTCGGTCTGGAGGAGTATGTGGAGAGGAGGAAAATTGATGGGAGTGTGGGAAGGGAGAGCTGCTGTCCTGCACTGGATGCGTCCCGAGGCATCAGGTCTGCCATGATAGTGCAGCGCCATTCTCCAGCCCCAGCCTGGTACTTCAGCATAGAAGAGATGTGTTATTAATCCCTGTTTCTGGAGGGATTGTTCTGAATTGAGCCATCTTGTGGAGGCTGAAAGGTCTTTCCCTTTTTACCATTGAAAACTGTTGTGTTAACTCATGAAACGTATTAACTATTACACGTCACCTTTCTACATTCCAGAAGAGCTTTATTTCTCTCTCTCCTGAGCCGTAAGAAAGCCTCTTTAAAATTGGTGTGTCCTTTTGAAGCAGTTGTTTCTCATATTGAGATGTACTGTGAGTTACTGAGATTTGATCACAAGAAGGAGGTTTTTCTTGTGCCATTAAACATGTGAGTTTGTACATCATGAAACGCTTGGGGCAGTACAGATCCACTGCAACAAAACCAGATTGAACAGGTAATACCTTGCAAGAACCATGTGAGGCTTCTTTCAACCCATGTGCTGTCATGATATGAGAAAACTAAAACCAGATGAAACTAGCATTTCAAAGAAAAATACTGGTTTTGCTGCAGAAAATATCAATAATGTGACCTGGTCTTATGCAATTTTTGTATTATTGAAAACACTATGATATATACCAATGTTGTGCAGTATAAGGAAAAATACTGCTATACTACTAGTTTAAGAGCTGGAACAATTCTGTATACGTGTATCTGGTAAAAATTGCATGCTACAACACTGGAGATCTTTTTTCCCCCCCTGTAAAATTTGAGAGCGGTCATTTTATTTTTTTCTTCTCCACAAAAGATGTTCCACTGCTGACACGGTAGGAAGAAATGTAACTCATAACTTGCACTAAATGTATATTATTTTTCTTGAAGTTTTACCATTCTTTATTTATATTTGTATGGATTAAAAAATCTATTAAATATGAATCAGTTAATATCTCACATAACTAATTACCTTTTTAATGTGATTTTATAGAATAATTCATAATCCTCTGCAAGTAATGGAGGATTAGCAAATGTTTACAACTAGATGAAGGGTTTCAACAAAATGGCTTCTTTATGATCCAACATACATACAAGATCATTTTCAAATATAACTTTCACTGCCGTTACCTTGGATTTCCTTGTTCCTTTACTAGCAGATAACTGGAACAGTAATATTAAAATTTTATTTAAAAACAACCTGCAGGGTTTTAAAATTAATAGGAGAAAGCAACTATATAGATTGCTTTTGGCTCTTTTTTTTTTTTCTCCCAAGTACATAGAGGTGTAAATTATATGTAGCCACACCTGAGCAGCCGGGCAGAATTGAATGCAGTACTTGAAACTTTGGCAGGACTTTAAAATTCAGCAGCAACACACACACTAGTAGATGAACTGACAGATTCCTAACTTCTTTACAGTAGATTATTTTGTTTCATATTCATTTTATCAAGCCACCACCACAAATGTACACAGAGGAAAAAAAGCAATATACTATAAGCCTAAACTAGGGAGGAAAAAATTAAGAAATCTGGCTGACAAAAATCATGTTTCGTTACATGGGGTCGGATAAAATTTCTTTCTTTTAACAATTATGCTCACAAGACTGCAAGAATTCCAAAAATATAGGCATTAAAATTAAAATAACAAGTATGGCATTCATCACAGTTATCTCAACCATCTTTATTCACCAAGTACTCAGTATGATTTTAAGTACAATAACACACTGAACCAAAATTCTGGTACTTTTGGCAAGCTGCAAAATAATGCCTGTACTTAAGGAAGTGCACTGCTGAATTTTAACCGATTTTTCTTAGTTAAAAACTGCCATTGACACTTCATCATCTCATCTCTTGCAGCAACTGGAACCAGTAGAAAGTGAAATGTGCCAGTGCGCTCACAGTGATCAGGCCCTGTATTAAAAATGGCTTTGGAACTGAAACAGGGAATCGGGCTGTGTTAAAACAGGAGTGTTGCAGCCACCTGTAGACTTCCAGGTGGAGTGCTGGTGGTTAAAAATTTGCTGTTACATTGCGTAAGCCTGAAGAAGAAGAAAATTCACAAAGAGCAGGATTTGGCCCATTTACAGAAGACAGCTCTGGAAGTTGTCCGTTTTTTTTCCTACAATGGAAGAATATAAACACACTACACATACAAAAATTGCTTTAAATCAGTTTGAAATTTTTGCCATGTCTAATGCTCTCCTAAAACACTGCTGTGTGTGCTGTATTAACTTGCACCTAATTCTACAGACTGTACTATCTGAATTAAAATACAGTTCACGCCCCTGCTGTGTTTTATAATTTGTGTAGATCCCGAGTGCTGCATATAAATTGTGCATCTCTGTTTACTCTTCTTAACCTGCTAAGCTTTCCCTGTTGACATGTCTTCTGGTAAACATGCAGTAGAGGTTCTGGTAAGGAAGTATGTGTGCCTGTGCTGTGAAACAAAAATGTCCTAATGTAAAACTTGCAGCGCCTTACTCGAGTTACTAATTTGAAAAAAAATGTGGTGGATGGGAGGGGGAAAGTGTCAGCATTTTTTATTTTTTCAACCATTCAGATACTGGTTCATGAAGAATGCATTCTTTGTTAATCTGTGATGTTGCCTAGAGCTGTATTTAATATTGATCTTAATGTTTTTATTTATAATAGTGTGGTAGAGCTGCATATCATTACAGTAAAAATTCTCATTACTGTGATGATTTAATCAAGCATTAAAAACTTCTGTATGACCACTTATTGTTCTGTTCATGCTTTTTTATTGTTTTCACAATATTTATGGTGGTTTTGCATTTATTTTCACCTGAGAGAAAATTAACAGCTAGAAATCTTACATATAAAACTAGTAAGCAGATAAAGGAAAGAATGAATGTTATGAGGTGCAGTCTTTGCATTGCCTAGTATTTGGCTACAAATTAGTAGCCAAATCAACCCAATCACACAGGTCACTATTAGGTAGGGTTTTTTTCCAAAACAAACATTTAAGTTTTTGTTTTAATTATAGAATAGTTGGCTTTTCTGATTTAAAATGGTTAAAAGTGGATGATGCTTTTGTTGTCTAAAAGCCATCTGTTGATGATGTATATTCATAGAATAGCGTGGGTTGGAAGGGACCTTCCAGATCATCTGCTTCCAATCCCCCTGCAGTGGGCAGGGACACTTTCACTAGACCACATTGCTCAAAGTCCCAATTCAATCTGACCTTGAACACTTCCAGGGCTGAGGCATCTACCACCCCTCTCAGCAACCTGTTCCAGTGTTTCACCACTCTCACAGTAAAAAATTCTGTCTTGTCCTATTGCAGCAGGCCCTGATAAAGAGTCTGTCTCCCATTTAATGATGAACAGCACTCAGTAATTTTTCAGTCGGTGTAACAAATTTCATTCTTCATCGCATTAATAGATGAGTATGGATTTCCAGCCTAAGGTCCCCATTGTTGCAGATCTAAGTTGATATCTAAATAACAGTGCAAAAGGTGAATTTTACGGTCCCTTCCAACCCAAACCATTCCATGATTCTACTTTTCTATTATGTGTATAATTTACAGGGCATTAATATGAAGGTCTGTTCTGTTCAGAACATAAGACTAAATATTCGAGAAAGTACCTCTTTTTTAATGTATAAAACAAAACTTCAGGCCCCTGAAAGAGTCACTGTCTGCTTGTGCTTGAATAAATAGAACATGCTGAGTGAAAGGGATGAAGCTGTCAAATTTACAAAAGTAGATTATCTCCTTCATTTAAAACTGAAGATACTTTTCTGCAGCACTCTAACCTACACTGTGAATTGGAGGTACAATCTGTGGCTAAAAAAGTAGGAACGACTTAAATTTGAGCATGTTGCTCCTGGCCTGTAATCTTTGTCAGTAGTAATCAGTATTACTTTCTGTCATCGGTATTACTTACTGTCATTAGTAATGCTGTGACTTACTACAGTGGAAGTCACTGTATGGTGGCAGGTCTGTTGAGTCAGAGCAAATGTTATTTTCCATTGTTTATGGACTGTTATTTCAATCAGTTGCCCAAGAATAAAACTCACAGAGCTGTGGGCCAATGAACTTGAAAACATGTCATTTCTATTTTGTACAAAATCAATTTGGTTCCATTTTTAAGTGTCCAGATTAGTGTTGAAAGCTGGGGATGACTTCTGATTAGCAAGGTAGCAATTGCAGTGCAATTCCAAATTTGTCTTGTACCGTCATTTAGGCTTCCCTTCATCCCATTTGTTTCCTCCAAACTGAGGCAGCCCCTGGATTGCAGGACCCGCGTTAGTGCTCTGCCACAGACGGGAACGCTGCACCTGCGGGTGAGGAGGCGCAGAACGGCACCAACAATCACCCGGAGCAGGGACGTGAGGCTCCGCAGGTGTGTACGGAACAAGCTGGCTGCATGAGTCACCTGGCCGGTGCCTGCGGGCGCTCAGAGCAGTGGGAGGCAGCAGCCCGCCGCTCCCACTCTCCCTCACGCCACGCCGGCTGGCCCGCCTTGCCCGCAGCCCGGGGCGGGGGCGCAGCCCGGGCAGGCGCGGATGTGTCCGGGCCGCAGCACCGCCCGCCCCTCCGCCGCAACAGCCCCGCCCGGCGGCACGTGATCCCCCTCCCCTCCAGGCCCGGGCCTGGCCCGCCGCGCGCAGCCAGCACCGGGAAACAGCGCGTTCCTTAGAAAAGCTTTACTGACCCCAAGACACCGCCACTGAGTACAAAAAGCCCACACACACACACAGACAGACAAGGCTGCCCGCCCCGCCGTAGCCCCGGTGCCCGGCTCAGGGCTCCAGCTGGTCCAGGCCCTCCTCCCGCCGGCTGCCCAAGTGCGACTCGATGATCTCGGCAAAGAGGTTCCTCTTCAGCAGGGAGTAAGCCAGGGGCAGCAGCTGGCCCACCGTCTTGTGGAAGTACTGCAGGAGACAGGGAAAACAAGGCTTTGTTTATCCCGGGGCACTCTCTTCACCCACTCCCAAAGTGGCTGAGCACGTCCTCACGCTACACCTGTCACAGCCACAGCACGCTCAGGCGGGGCTACCTGAGCTGGAAAACTATTTTTAGCGGTGCAGGAAATGACGGTGCCATTACAGTATGAAGAGCTCCAGCCTGTGGCTGAAGTCCTGTGTCCTGTCACAGTCCCATGTCTTGTCACACTCCACAGCTCGAGGGGATTACAATGGTACCTGCAGTAACCATTTAAGCACTTCAAATGTAAAAAACGTCAGACTGTGTTTAGCATTTGCAATAATTATTGCACGTGTAAGCCGATTATAGCTCTTATATGAAGGCAACAAGATTTAAGTCCCTTTCCCTGTCCTGGGCTACAGATAAAGTGTCAGTGTTTCTCTGGCTCTGTAAGCAAGGGGACAGGCAGGCTCCAGTCAGAACCAGAAAGCAGCTCCCAGTATGAGCTCTAAAGCAGGCAGGGACCAAACCACCAAGTAACTTAAGTGTGAAGCTGCTGTTTTTTCCTTTCTGTTTACTAAACAAGAAAATGAAGGTTTCTATTTTTAGAAAACAGCTGCAAAGTTACAGCTGTTTCAAACTGCTGCCTAAGATAGACAGAAGACACATGATACTGCTGTAAACGTGTAATTTGTTGTTGCAGGACTTTGTCAGGGTTTAGTCTTGTGTATCAAGAAGCACATAGCACTAAAGCCGGGTGTTTGCCTTCACCCACTCAGCCAACTGGGAGAAACTGTTTCCTTCACTGCCCTTCCACTTGCAGACAAGATTTAAGCACCTGAAGCAGCCCAGTCACTGAACAAAGGGTCCTAAATGAGCAGGATTTCAGAGGAAAATACCACACATTTTCAGATGCTGTACAGAACTTAAGAGAGCAGGACAGGAAATCTAAGAAACACATTAGTAATTTAAAAGTGCATGGTAAGAGCAGCAAGTTTTCCTTCATTTCAATGACTAAACATTTTAACAAAAGTTCAGCACAGCTCTTCTGGGCCTACATTTAGTATTGAAAGATAAAAATCTTTCACATGATACTCTGGAGCACTGATACTGGTTTTGCTAGAAGAAGCTATTTTGTATGGATCCATTCATATTAGGTTGATGTTTAACTTCTTTGTGTTATTTTCTAGCCATAGACTGATTACAGATATGAACCTTTTCATCAACAGGGTGAATGTTTTAATACAGAACTAAAATAAAATACAGAACAAAAAGCGCTAAGCAGAATCTTTATGTATAATTAAGTGCTATTAAGTGAATCAACTTATTGATGATATTCACTGTTATCACAGAAACAGGGAAGAGACCTCAGGTGGGAGGTGCCCTACACAGCCAGAGGCAGTGCAGCCAGACAGCTGACCTGGAGTCACATTTTTCCAGCTAGGGTTACTACAGTCCATTTCTTGATCCAGTTGAATTTGGGTGCCTGTGCCTATACAAGCAGTTGGGGACAGGGGGCTCCAACTATTCAGTATATTTAGATCAGACATTCTGCACTCTACTTCTGGATTGCAGGATTGGGCTTTCCTATGCACAATTTTAAATTCAACACGGAATAATGTCCTTAAGTGTGACTTTCTAACAGTCTTCATGAATTAACAATATTCTTGTAGACCTTTATGATTTCTAGGGATAATTATTCTACAACACAGAACAATTCCTGGTCCACATATAAAATAATGCATAACTTTGTGAAGCATGATTGCTGTAGTACTCACATGTGATCCATAGCAAAAGAGGTCCATACCCAGTTCATACCCCATTCCATAGTCACATTCATCATTAGCAAACTGAACAAAGGTCAGCATTTCTTGAATGGGTGCAAAAGCCTTCACTCTTTCATCATCAGTAGGAGCATCAACAATAGCCTTGCAAATTTTTTTAAGATTAGCTGCAAAAAAACCAAAGTCAAATATCCAGATGTTTAAATAAATAAATTTAATATTGCACAGAATAGTCTATGGCAAAACCATACCCGTGTGTCAACTAAGTGGGCACACCCTGAACTGCTGGTGAAAAAGCTTACCCCTTTCCTTGGCTGCTCATTCTTGCCCCCTGCCCATCCCTCTGAGTTCCCCCACAGAGAGAGACAAGCATTTGTGTGGTGAACTTCCATCAAGGAACTGATTCTGGTTAAAACAACAGTGGGAGAAGAGGATGGATAAGAAATAAAGCCACAAATCCCTGAATATGGATCAGTTTTTTGGATCTACTTCCTGCATGGCTGTGCCAATACAAAAGATCATCTAAACTACTACTTCAGGAATTATTATTTCAGATTTAACATGTTTCATTGATTTTCATTTGGTTCATCTAAAGACAATACTTTGAGCTCAAGTGTGACGGTTAAGACTTCTACCTTTTACTCCTACCACTTACTCTACGTAGAAAATATGAATGCAGTTTGTTTTTTGCAGAGTCTGTGTGACTGAAGGTTGTTTAAATAAAGCGGAAAAATATCGTAAACAAGATATTTACCATTTGTTTCAGGAAGTTCTCTGTATCCAACATCATTTTTGTCTACAGGAACAACTAGACCTGCTCCATGAAATGCTTTGGTCACCACCTAAATAAAGGGACAGGAAATAGAACATAGCACCATAAGACAGTACTGTGACATAAAGCCACTCACCTCATTAAGCACTAATATCTGTCTGCTGGTGGTCAAACCTAATATAGTGTCCTGGCTCCAGGACATCAACTCAGTTTCAAATAATATTGCAATTACTTTCAAGTGCTGAAGTTTAAAATAACTGGAAACTCCAGTCAAGCTCTGAAGTCTAGGAACCCTTGTAGTCTCTTGTGTAGCACCTCATTTGTTTAGTCACCTCCTACTATAATTATTTCTGATAGGTATGCAAAACTATTACTACCCGTACTATTACTACCCGTACTATTACTACCCGTACTATTACTACCCGTACTATTACTACCCATGGTCCTGTTTCTAACAGATCCAACCCAACTGTTTTAATCTTCCATTTCAACCAGTTTTCTCCATGCCCTCCATTTGTTTTATTTTTTAGACTACTGCCCTTATTGTGGTTTTTTTGGTGGTGGCTTGTTCCTTTTGTTTGTTTGTTTTTAAATTGAATTTTGTTTTACAAGCATAATGTGTTTTTATTTAGTCCTATTATTTGGAACACACTTGTATTAATTTTCCCTCTCCTGAAGTTTTAGAGAGAGATGATTGGCTCTGAAAATTCTTAAATGAAGCATCCTTACTAACTAGAAGGATGAAAAAAAAAACAACCAAACAGGAAGGGAAATGAAAAAAGTTTAACAGAACTTAGTTCTCTCCAGTGGATGAGGAAAGTCATACTTTCTTATCTCTCTGTTTCATCTTCATGGTTTTTTGTTCCAGAGAATAACCCAGATCTTTTGCTGTCCTTGTTAGCTTTTCATCTAGGTCTCTCAAAACAGCACTTTTCTTTTTATCAGTCACTTCCTTGAGTTTTTTTGACAAAAATAATCTGCAAACAGAAAAAACATGCCTTAATAGAAAATAAACGAACAAATCTATAGCCTTTTAAACACTAAACTTCCCGTTCTTATAATGAAGACTAGCAGTCCTGAGTTTATTTATACAAAGACTTGGAAATGCAAGCCTCGTTTAACAAGAAAGAAAAGTTTGGCACAGACAGTACTTGGGCATTTCTTATCTGTATCTGCATTACCATCTAGTTTATGCAATCAGCAGGTGCTGAAGATTCTCCTGAACTCAGTAGCTGTTCATCTTTCTATCTTAAGAATTCAGTTTGCTGCTTTCGTGCCATATACACCATTTGTCATCCAAGTCATGCACACAAATACATATTTATGAGTTTCCTCATGGTGCTTTCAAAACAAATGTCCTCATTTAACTCTGCACTGCACAAGGATTCTTTTGCAGAAGCCACTATTCAGCCTGCTTCCACTGACTGACACATGTCTGTCCTTAAAAAGCTTTCCATTTTTAACCGGCAGGGATGAGATCTGTTGTTTACATTCCTGACATGGAATCACGTAAAGCTTCATGAATCATCTTGAGTTACATATCCATATAAATGTTATCCTGCCCCAAGGTCAGAAATGGCACTTCTTGTATTTATTCATTATATACAAAAGAAATGTACTTTTACGTAGGCAAGAACAAGAGCCAGATGCTACTGGGATACTCCGATTTCCTTCACCACTGTTTGAGATGCCCGCCCTTTACTTACCCAGTATTTTAACCAAGTATTTAACACCCAGTGGGTACTTTTTCCCCTGTAGAGCCTATCCCTGCCAACATATTTAAAGAATGAGATAACCAACGATTATCTATTTTACTTCTGAAAGGAAAACACCGTCAAAAAACCTATAAAGGCTTTGGAGAGAACCTTAAGACTTGCTAGCAGTGGCAGAAAATAAGCACGAATTTCTTGAGAAAGACACGTAAATAAGTCAGCTGCGTTATTCCACACCTCACAATTAACAGTTTCTACTCTATTTTTTATAAGTAAGTATGAACCTTACTTGACTGCTGCAAAGACATTATCACCAACTTGTGAAATCACACAGCCCTTCTTAGCTTCATTTGCACCAACCCACACTGGGAGCTCATCTGGCACATCCCTATTGAGGAAAAAGTACGCACAAATAGTCAAAGTGTGTCCATTTCTCTTATTTCAAAGCAAAATTAATTTGCTTCCTCACTATGCTGCCATCTCCTTCAGACCTATCAAGAAATGCCCTTAGATCTAAAGCTCTAAGATCTTAGAGCATGCCTTAAAGAGAGCTTGCAGCTGTACATGCAAAGAGAATACCTGTTCCCTTTAATTCATTTGACTTTTTCTTCCAAGTATCATGGCAAAAGTTAAAGATTAATAAGTGAAGGTGCTCTGGATGGCTGGGGGAGGTAGTTTAATAAATATTTAAATCGTCTCCAACTCCAGTACCTGTGATCTTTTTTAATAAAAAGATAATCAAGCCATGTGTTAATATCCTATTACAGAAGAGAAAGATTCTTGTTTGATGATTGTGCGCAAGTCTCAAATCATGTCTCATGGAGAAAATAGGACAAAAAACTGCATAATTATGGTCTAGCAAGAGCGTACAGGAAATTAAATACCTGAAATATCCCATGTGATACTGTGTTTTGCTATCCCCAACAAGTATAGTCTGGAATTCTGGGGGATCATAGAAGAATCTCCAATGAAGGTTGAAGTTCACATCTGTTGATTTTGGTTTTTTGTGTTTTCCAGCAAGAATATCATATGGTCCAACCAGTTTAAGTCCAACACTTGACACAAGTGCATCTGAAAAGCAAAGCATGAATTGATTTACATTCTGGTGGGTGCATATCCAGATGCAGTTCCTGTGTCAGTCAGGTATCAAAAGCTTCCACAAATTCCATCAAACACTGTTTACTAGACAAGGAGAGCTGAGACATTCTTTTGTCCAGATAGCTTTCATTTGAGAGTTATTACACTTCTCATAAGAAGTAGCCGTCAACAGTTCAATGTCTGGATGGAGATCAGTGATGAGTGGTGTTCCTCAGGGGTCAGTATTATTAAATATTAATCTTTATCAATTACACAAGACAGTGTGATCACGTGCACCCTCAACAAATTAGCTGATGATGCCAAGCTCAGTGCTACAGTTGACACACCTGAAGGTGGGATGCCATCCAGAGGGACCCGGATATGCTTGAGAAGTGGGCCCATGGGAATCTCATGTATTTTAACAAGGTGCAAGGTGCTGAACCTGGGTCAGGGCAAGCCCTGGTATCAACACAAGCCTGGGGATGAACAAATTGAGAGCAGCCTTCCTGAGGACTTGGGGGTGCTGGTGGGTCAGAGGCTGGACATGAGCTGACAACATGCAGTTGCAGCCCAGAAAGCCAATTGTATCCTGGGCTGCATCAAAAGCAGCGTGGCCAGCAGGTCAAGGGAGGGGATTCTGGTCCTCTGCTTTGGTGAGACCCCACCTGGAGTGCTGCATCCAGCTCTGGGGGGCCCCAGTACAGAAAAGACCTGGCCCTGTTGAAAGGGGTCCAGAGGAGGTTCATGAAGATGATCACAGGGCTGGGGAATCTCTCCTCTGAAGACAGACTGAGAGGTCTTGGTTGTTAGCCTGGAGAAGAAAAGGCTCCAAGGAGACTGCAGCCTTTAAATATTTTAGTACTGAAGATAGCGACAGACTTTTTAGTAGGGTCTGTAGCAATAGAATGAGGGGTAATGGTTTTAAACTATAAAAGGGTAGATTCAGACTAGATATAAGGAAAAAATTCCTTAAGATGAGGGTGGTGAAACACTGGAACAAGTTGCCCAGAAAGGCAGTGGATGCCCCATGCTTGGACACATTCAAGGACAGGATGGATAGAGCTCTAAGCAACCTGATCTAGTTGCAGATGTCCCTGGTTATTTTAGGGGATTAGACTAGATGAACTTTAATAGTCCCTTCCAGCCCAAATCATTCTATAACTCTAAAAAAACTTGTCATTTCTAGAGCACACAGGGATGGCACATTCTGTTATATAATAAATTTGAGGAGGTTGAAACCCAGATTCAGCAGTGCTTACACTGAGTTAAAGCCTTTTCTGCCTCTCACCCCACCAGTGGCAAAGCTGTGGATGTACAAGAAATTGAAAGGGGACACAGCCAGGACAGCTGACCCCAGGTGACCAAAGGGATATTCCATACCATATGGCATCATGTTCAGTATATAAACTAGGGGAAGATGGAGTGTCATTTGGAGTGATGGTATTTGCCTTCCCAAGTAACTGTTACGTGTGACAGAGCCGTGCTTTCCTGGAGTTGGCTGAACGCCTGCCTGGCCATGGGAAGTGGTGAATGAATTCCTTGTTTTATTTTGCTTCTCCATGTGGCCTTTGCTTTCCCTATTAAACTGTCTTTAGCTCAACCCACACATTTTCTCACTTTTACCCTTCTGATTCTCTCCCCTGTCTTACTAAGGGGGAGTGAGTGGCTGAACAGTGCTTAGTTGTTGGTTAGGGTTAAACCACAATATATCTAGGAAACTTGAGTTCCATATCAAACATTTTAAATGTACCTGCAAGAAAGACAGACTTAGACAACGTTTAGTCCCTCTGTATTGCACGATTTAAGTAATCATATATTAGAAAGCTTGAAGTATACATCTGATTATATCCAGGATTCCTGTTTACACTCACATAAATATCCTGCATCTTAACCACAAATTGAAGCTGCATTAGAATGCATCTGACCACCTCCACTTTGCCTGCTTTCAGGTTGTTTTTGAGAGTGAAAGTTAGAAAAGGCAAAATTTAAAACCTCACCACTTGGTTTCTCAGGATCTAGTTCCTCGCAAAACTTCCAAAACTGGTAGAAGTCCTCAGGCAGTCTAAGCTGATAACATGTTTCGGCTTCTTGACAAAGACTGTCAGGAATATCTGCCTGATTTGATCTTCTCTTCTTGACAGCTCCATTTTTTTCGCTCTGTAGATGAAAAAAGAAAGCCCACAGTTAATTTAGCTGCTTTCTGTCAGCTCCACCAAAGGATTTCACAAAGTTTTATATTCATGGAGGAACAATGATTAGGACCACTAGGGCATGTTTGTTAGTTAAAGCAGCATATATACAGATTAGAACACCTATTTTGGACAGAATCCATTAGAAGTGCAGTCTGATATGTGCTAAACATGTATGAAGTAGCAAACTGCTACTTTTATGTTAATGGATCGATATAACCAACAGGAGCACTTCCATTAGTTAATTAAGCAAAGGACTAAGCAACCCCAAAATTTAATCTAAATTCTAAATTATTTTAAAATGACAATTTCCAATCCCACCACAGCCTCTATCTAATAAATTTAGATGTTTACAGATAGTTGAAAGTAGGAATACTATTTTGTCATGTCTGGTTAAATGACACAACAAAAGTCCTCTAGTCTCTACAGTCTGAACTACTGTGTTATTCACCATCAGGAGTAGTGCAGTTTACAGTGCAGAATTTTAAAAGTAGCTTGAAGCTGAAGTTGCTGTTAAAAATGATGTAACATAAACTGAAGCAGACTAGGAAATGATCCATACTGAGCATACGCTCCACTAGAGCAGTAGCCTCAACTACCCCCTACTTGAAATAAAAATTAAAAAAAAAAAAGGCAGCAAGGTTTCTTTCCTGTTTTTAGGAAAGGCCAACGCGGAGGACACTTCCTCTCCGAAATGGGGCCGCCGCCAGGTATCCAGCGACACCGAGTGCCCCGTACCCAGCGCATCCCGCTGGGATGATGCGGCGGCTGCCGGGCACAGCACCTCAAACGCGGCGGTCCCGGGAGAAGCCCGGGGGAGAAGCGGCTCCCGCGCAGGAGAACGAGGGGCCCTGGGGCTTTTTCCTCACAGCGACGGAGCAGACAGAACGAGGAGCGCGGAGCCGGGGACCGACGCTGCGACAGGGCACCCGCGCCGATCCAGGCCTGCGGCCCCGCGGCTACGGCGCTCGTAGCTCGCCCGCCGCCCTTCCCCGGGTGTCCCGGGCCGTGTCCCGCCGCTCCCCCGCCCCACCTGCTCTCCGGCGGCTCCCGCCGCGCCGCGCGGCCTCCGCTTCCCGCCTCCTGCCATGCGCTCGCGCCGCCCGCATCCCGCGCCGCGCGCCCGCCGCGCCCAGCGCGCGCGCTCCGCGCCTGCGCATCCCGACGCCAGCTGCCGAGCCAGCCCGTTCCGCAGCGGGACGGACAGGGAGGGGGGACCGGCTCCCCATGGGATGTGCTGCACCTGGCACTGCGGCGTCTGGGCGGGCGGCGAGGCGGGAAGAGGAGGAACGCAGTTAACCCTGGATGGCGAACACGGCTGGTGCTGGAGACAAGGCGTGAGCTCACCGCCGCGTTCCCTCAGCGGTACATACACTGCCTGTATTCAGAGGCTGATTTTGTTAAGTCCTAATTACACACGCGCTAATTCCTGTACTGCGAGTTAGGGTGGTCTATTGGAATGACACAGAGGAAAAGAGATTAACTGAAATGTAATCTTTCCCTTCAGAGCTAAAGGCATAAGGGGGGTGGGGGAACGCGATACTGGTTTTCAGTACACAGAGGGGAAAAAAAAAAAAAAGCTCCAATCCCCTAATCCTCTGCTGTAGCATTTGACTGCTGCCAGGAGTATAAAATCACTATCACATAATTTCTCTTCCAATGGAAGAAGCAGGCAGCAGTGTGTAATATGCCACAAGTGGGACACGTTCCTCAGTTCAGAGCAGCACATAATCATATTATGCAACACCTTCTTACATTGCCGAAATGCCTTGCATAGGAAGAGGCCTAGAAAACCAGTGGTACAGGAGGCATCAGCGGGAAACTGGTTATATATAAACCTTCACTTCTTTGTTTCAGTAAGCGAGATCACAGTGGGTTTATTCAAAGAAACATAATGTAGTTAAGCTGGAGGAATTGCTGAACTCGTACTGTCTGCCAGAAAGAAAGATGCATGTATGGCATAAATAGAATGGGATTTTTTTTTTTATCTTTCAGTCCATTAAAGTTGTAAGTATTTGCTGTGGTGTAGATTGTTAGCTTGGGTCTAGGAATAAACTGTGGTGCCTTTCAACCACCTGACAGCCAAGAGACTAACACAAAAGCTGGATTATGTTAAATCAGGCTACAGCATTCACTATGAAGAGTTACACACAAGCCAGGAAACTTGATCCTGACTGATGGTGGTATTACCTGCACGTAAAACAGTGAGGTTTGCTATCATGTAGATGCAGAACAACCACTGCCAAAATCTCCTCTCTCTGATGGAAAAATTGTTGTTTAAATCAGCATACCTATTGTTTGCTTACCAAAATCCTGCACACACAAGGAAGGAACATTACATTTCAAATCCAAGCCTTGTTTAAGGGTTGGGTTACTGTCATCACCTCAGGTTAAGCAGAAACGAGGTACAAAAGCTTACTAAGAAACCACAAAACTAATTTTCTTTCTGAAAAGTGTCAAGAGTACTGGCCTGAGGTTTCTTTGGAAAATGTTTTCTAATTTTAGTCTCACTCCCTACTTTCTAGTGTACAAAACCTTAGCTGTAATGGAGGCTGGACAAAATGGCACCCAAAGGAATAATATTTTCGTCAGTAGTTTGGTGAAAAGTGTCTGCAGCGACTTTAGAACAAAAGCCTGCGTACTCCACCCCTATCCCAAGTATCTGTTACGTGCCCTACTTTAGCTTACCCAAATTCCAACTTCGTGCCACAAATAGATCCAGTGGCACCAAAGGCCCCAGTATGTCTCATTTCAGTATTAAAGCTAACAAATGCTAAGTTCTGTTGCCCATTACTATTTCAGGATAGCCTTTTTTCCTATTACAAGGATTAATTATCCTCACCTCCAAACGTATAGCTTTGCAGGTGCTTATCATGCCCTCATGTTCTCTTCTCAGTGTTTACTGAAAGGAGCCCTGCACATAATCATTTGGAGTTCCACAATTACACTTTTACTAAGGTGAATGCAAAAATTACATGAGAAGGATAACCCAAGCATGCCTGATGACTTAGCCTGGTGTCTCAAGTGAGTATTCCTGCCACATTAGTTTTCTGCTACAAAGCAAATAAATAAGGTCAACATGACCCTTTATTTTGAGTCAAGAAGAAAGCAAAACCTTTTCAAAGTTTTCTGCCTTTAAAGAGGTTGACTATTGCCTCTTAGAGTATTTTGCATAATAGCATTGAAACAAAAGTAATGTAAGCATGAAATAAACTTGTAGTTGCCCCATTTTAGGTATGCCAATATATCACAAGGCAAAGCTATGCTGGAAGAAATGCAAACTGATTAGAAAAACTAGGTCTCAAATGCCAGGAGGGAAGATACTAAATGCTCTCCATCTGAGAAACTCGGTCTCCCATACTTTCCCTGGCAGGTACCCCAGTCACTAGATTATTGGTTGAGTAGAAGTGTTTGGCCATATGTAAGATAAAAATATTTTTATATGCAACTCAAAATCCTTTAATAGGTACCTTCCAAACAATTTTGGAATGAGTACCTCAAGAGAAATAGGTAATGAAATGCCCAGTTACCTCACCCTGACTTGAAATATGGGGCAGCTGGCTTGGATCCATTGAGATCATGATGGTGGTTAAATTCAGAAAACTAACTTTGCTTGGTTGGATAGATAAAAGGAGTATTTTTGAGTTTAAGTGTATCTAGTCCCAGGTGACAGCTGGTCAGGTCTTTTCAAAACAGCAGTTTTGAGCTTAAGTACACACTTTAGATTTGATAAATCCTTTCAGTTACTCTTCAGTTAAGTCTACCCTCACCAGTTCTTCTCTGAAGTGTGGAAATAGATTGTGGGGTGCCACTATACAAGCTCTTAAACAAGAAACTAAGATACTGAATGATTCTTCTGTGCACCATAGTAAATTTTTCCTCTCTGTGAGCAAGTGGTAACTCCCTCTGTATCTTTCTCCAAATAATTTTTTCTTACTTCTCAAAGTCATAGATTTTAAAAGCATATAATTTGGTATTTGTAGTCATACTGTCATTCGTTCTGTTAACAACCTGTAAGGCTGCAACAGGGAAATCTTTTTACGAAGGATAAACTACTTCAGCAGAGTTTACAATATGGTATTTTAAAGCCCCCACCTTCAAACTAGTAAACAGACTCCTGTGTCTGTACCACCAGACTTCTGAAACAGGATGAACTGAGATTATCCCAAGAGAATTATCTGCAAAGTAGCTTTATCAAGCTCCAAAGTCATCAGTATGATTAATGCCACTCCAAAGTGAGCATAGTTTGGTTTTGGTTGGTTTGGGAGGGGTTTGTTTCTTTTGGTTTTGTGTTTTGTTTTGTTTTTTTTTTTTTTTGTTGTTTTTTTGTTTTTTTTTTGTTTTTGTTTGGTTTTTTTTGTGTTTTTGTTGTTTTTTTTTTTTAATTCATAACTATGCAGGAACAGATTTTGTGAGAAATCACAGAACTGACGTCTGTTGTCTTGAAACAAAGCTTTTCAGACCTGCTGTCTCAAAAGCTATGGTAGATACTTCCTGTGTATGCACACATGTGTTTCCTCATACATTTAATTTGTCTCTTAAGGTCACCAAGACCCTAGTGTGTCCTGTGAGGATTTTTCCTCTTCTATGTTAATTTCCAAGATTATTGCTTAATATCCAAAGTTACCAAAGTGTGCCACATGCTATGACAAAGTCTCAGCAGACTTTGTCTGCTTAATTTCAGAGTTTTATAGGTATTAATTATTTGAAGAAAGCTTTCAAGAGTTAAAAGCCTAAGTGAACACTTCATCAGCTAATAAGTAATAGAAAGAAGGAAAGAAGACTTGAAATTTGTTGAAAACTGGTTGTTGAAATCCAATTTGTGCTTCCTCACTGCCATTCACTGACTCGTTTACGCTCAGAGCTTTCCTCCAGTTCATTACTTTCCTCCCACCCCTTGCAACGTGAAGATTTGCTCACCTGTGAAAAACACCAGAGGTAAATTAAGCTATGCTAATCCAGATATTCTGTGCTGAGATGTTACAGAGCTTTATACCTAAGGACAAGGACTGAGACACGATATAGTCTAGTCTGCACTAGCAAATTAGATGGGGTGCAATACAAATGAATCACAAGCTATTTTCCCCTACCCTTCAGCATATGCAGCTGAAAGGTAACTATTTAAGTCGTGCTTAGGTACTTCTTTTAGGTAGTTTCAAAGAGTACCTGAGCAGCAAGTCTCCTCATCAGTCACCACAACATACTGATAACTAGACTACTCCCTATAAATATAGGTGAATTGTAATTTCTGTTCAAGGACTGTTTTTTGCCAAACAGAATACTGTGTTTTTCTTAACACAAGAGGGAGCCATTTAAACTCTTGTTATTAAAGAAGCAGTTTAAAAAAATGAAGACAAAATAAATACCTGAATACACAACTGGCCCCTTTTATGTCCTTTCAACATAACTCCTTTAAAAGTAGACATCTATTTCTGAACCCTAGATAATTTAATCTTATTCTAAATAAACCCAGTGTATGTAGCAATTACTGGATTTTTCTGTGTGCAGCTATCACATTGGGGACGTACAGAATGCAGTGTGGCACAAATGCAGTGAAATTATGCTATTTTTAAATAGTTTTAACACTGCAGTTTAGTCAAGGTTCTTAGTGAATTGCTTTACAAAACTGGCAGCCTTGTTCTCGGGTTAAGCCTCAAAAATCCTCAGATCACACAGAGCCTCTGTTCCTTGGGTTATTAGTTTTTGTAGGGCAGCTCCATGTTTTCAGGTTCAGAGAAGGACACATCCTCCCTTTCATCAGAATAAAGATGAACAGGAAATCTGGACACCTTTCAATGTCAAAGACAAGAGTTACCTCCAGGGAGGTTGGAATTGAGCAGTGCTGCAAGCCGACTGCAAAGACACACAGTGCCTCTGCTGACTCATCACCTCACTGCTGCCTGTGCTGACAGGTTGTCCTGGATCCCTGCCAGCTCCCCTTGCAATTCTGCAAGGTAGGCTATATATATATATATCAGGGTAAAGAAAAGAATGCAGTGGGAGGAGGAGGAAAAAAAGTCATATAACTGGAAGAAAACTGATCAGGATACTGCAGGACATATTTCCCGAGACATCCTGGAGGCTTCAGGATACTTCATATTGTGAATGTTTAAAATGGAATGAGTGAGGATACACAGTAGTCTTTACGTGAAGGAGTTGGAGTTAAATACTAGCATTTTAGTATGGAAATTAATATTATTTTGGCATCAATTCAGTGAGCATCGCAAAAACTGCTCCTGACAAGAGTGTAAACTCACAGCTGGTACTGCTTTAATCCAGCATTTGAACCACTATTTGTTTAGATCTGGCAGCTAGCAGTAGATTATGATTTTAAGGTGGCGGTAGTATTTTACTGCAAGCCAAAC